GATAAATTTTTATGTATCGGCAGAGGTGTATTGGTATTTTAACATAAAAAAAGATTTTACAAAAATAACTATAAACAGGTGTATCAAAGTCTTAAGGCTGCATTTGGAAACAATGCAAATATGTAGAGTGTAAAACGTCCATATAAATTATAAAGTTGGGTTAGTTTTGCATTGACAAATTTACTTTCTTACCAAACAGACTTTTAACTATTATGGATGCAAACAAGAAGTACAATAAAGCATATGTTTTATTTTTTTATTTTTTTATCAAAAGTCCACTTGAATACAAATTTACTTCTTTTTAAATATACATTAGTCTGTCATTTATCAGTGCATAAATGTAATGCTGCTAAACCCAAACAAAAGTGAACCAGAATGCAAATTTACCCTAAACCAGGATTTATACTCTATTTGTATCATTTCCAAACACAACTTAAAAAGAACGATACAATATGCCCTGTATCGGATGTAATCGATACTTTAAACCTTAGAAAGAAGAAAAAAAATAATATTTAAAGTGTATTCTGTTGTTGGTAAGAATCTATATCACCTCTTGCGTGTAAGTACAATCTGTATCTACTGGTTAGCTATAACGTCTTCCATTGCTGGATGGATCCCTGAAAGAAATTACTTTCAATTATTGCAAAATAGGTAACCAGTAGATTCCAACGCAGAGACACCTGAGGATGATAATTCTCGTAAAAGATGTAGGGTCCTCATTTTCCCTTCTTCTCCACCAATAAAACCGATGGTTTTATTGATTGATTTGCATGCCAAATGAAGCAAAACAAATGACTACAGTATGGAAAGTCCAACTTGCCATGAACAAATCCCAGTTGCACAGAGGACCAGATTCATTGATCAAGTTGGAGGCCTTGTAAGTTGAAACAAAGCCAAACAAATTAAGAGAGATAGCATGTGCTCATGTGTTTCACTAGTAACCTAAAGGCTAGGTGTTTTAGGGCCCATTTGGTTTATGGAAAAAGGGTCTGGAATTAGAATTGGAATGGGTCATTCTGATTTCAACTGTCTCATTTCTGTAGGAATGGCCATTCCTTTCTCCTTCCTTGATTATGAAATTCCTTTCTAACTTATTCTAATTTCAATTCAAACCGTAAATCAAACAGACCCTTATTCTTTTTCTCTTTCATGCAACCTCGGTCTACGTGTGCGGTGTCGATTATGATCCGGGTCTGGGTCGGACCATGAGTATCCAATGGGCAGTGTCGGTTTTAGCCACATTAGAAATGTGGGGTTAAGTGGGTTCTTTTTATTTGCAGTGAAACAAATGTGGGGTTGGCCAGGTTGGATCTATGAAGTGTTTGAAGTAGCAGGAAGCAGTAGGAATTAGGAAGCAAGTTGGAGGTTTTCAAATTTTAATTTTTTTTTTCTTTTCTTCCTTCTTTTCCTTACATTTTTTTTCTCAATTATGTTTATTGTTTGTTTGTTTCAACTTTAAATCAATTGGAGACGGCAATTTTGAATCCATGGCTGTTTGTATGAGTGTATTGACTGTCCTTTCCTTTGTTGTGTCCTGCAGACAGCCTGACCCAAACTAGCTAATATGTGTAATGACTGAGTGGAATGTTTAAACATCAGAGGTGCTTTGCAAATTAAAAGCTTTGAATCTATGCATGAACTGATTGTTGTTTATAATCACAACACCACAAATGTCCAACAAGATGATTTTAGCTGTTTACATTTGTGAAGAATTTGTTGATTAAAATATCGGCAAAGGATGGTGAAGATGGATGGCCAAGATTAATTACTGGGACCCAAAACACTCTGTATATATTTTTATTTCAAACATGAAATTTATTTTAGCTTCTGTTTGGAGTGGGAGGCCCAAGGAGTACTAGTCATGTGTTTGAAGGAAATGTGAAGCTTCACTACTTTGGACAGATGCATATTATTGTAATTTGGAATTCTCTTATTTGCCCCTTTCATTTACCTATTTTGGTTTTCTTAAAGGATAGTTTCTTTTATTGCTAGCATCTCTTATTTCTCTTTAATTAGGTGAAGCCCATGTCCCCCTTCCAGGAATGAGCTAAGTCCAGTTCTTTGGAGCACAAGGCCCCACTACCGACACCCTGCCCCAAGCCAGAATCAGCACAGAGATGTCTCACAGGTACCTAATTTAATATCTAGATATGCTTTTTACTATTTACACTAAAATCCATCAATTATGATCATTTCCCTTTGTTTATTTCTTTTTGTTAATAATGGTTAGAAATGCTAACCATTATTACATGGTTTTCAAAATTACTTTATTTAAGCCCTAATTACATGGTTTTCAAAATCGGGTCGGACCGGACAGTCAGACTGGAAAAACTGGGAACCAGTCAACTGAAAGGTTCTACTTTACCCCAAAATAGCTTTTGGCCAAAAAAATCGTTGATTCAGTCAACAAATTGCTGATCTGGGCAGTCAAACCGTCAATCCGGATAATAGTTTTTAACCATTTTTTATTTTTTGTTAAAACGGGCTATCCATTTGAATCAGACGGTCAAACTGTTTGACCCAAAAACCAGTCCCCAAAATGGTTTTCTGTCTGGTCCAGTTTTAATTAAAAACCTTGCCTAATTATACCATAGTTGTTCTCTTGTTAGAGTGCAAATAACCATAAATATAGAAAAAAAAAAATGAGTATCTGGTGTTTCACCACTTGGCAACACACACCTAGCTAGATAATACTATGGCTCAGTTTGGAAAGAGTACATATATATAGTGCAAAACCTTATATTTTATATTATTTTATATTCTTAAACCTTATATCTATACTGTATATATTTGTATTATTTATACTCTTCCGAAACTGAGCCTACATTTCATGCTTACAGGGAAGCAAACAGGCTCACCGATGTTCTAGCTCATGAGTTGATTAATCAAGTTAAAATTCTTAAAGATGATATCGTTGGTCTTCTTGTGCTTATGCTTAGAATTGGCTACATCCCTTGTTGTAATTATTTGTTCTTTGGGGAAGGAGGGGTGGGGGTTTGAGTTTGTGTGGGAAGGCATGTTGTTTTTTGGATTTGAGGCAAGGCTGGCCACATCCTCTCATCTATCAATGTAATAAAATTTTAAGGTAGCCACACTCTTCCCCTAAGAATAGGTTTTGGGGTTAAAAAAACCTTGAAACACCGCACCCGAACCGCAAAACACACCTTTGAATCGATTTTCAATTGCCATTTATTTTTAAATTATTTTTGGATCATTGCTTGGTGTAGTGATCAATCTTGGGTTGACAAGCATGAGAACATGAATCGAAGTCTGAGAGGAGCCATTTTGTGGTCATTGCTTGATGTAATGGTCAAATTTCGGGCTGACAAGCATGAGACGTGGGTTCAAATTTGAGAGCAGCCACTTTATACTAAAAACCATATCAAAAATCAAGTTTGTATGAATCCAAGACCCCAAATAGCTAGAACCAACATTTGGTAATGGCCTTTTTTTTTATCTTTGAAACATTTTTTCACATGGGCAGGGATTCTTGAAGGGGCAATGAATATAAGAGAGGAAACTATATATGATATTCGTCCTTTATTTTATGTGTCACTTATCATCAGTCGACCCCCTTGTGGACCGGCCCTCTGTTACTTCATTATTGCCTAGTTTCCTGTACATTTTCTGGTTTGGAGAATCATTTTCTGATTTGTTTTAATATTACAATATTTAGTCATCTCTAATTGATCTATATCTTAATCGTGATTCAGGCTTGTTCAATCATTCAAAGAGTTTTTTTTTTTTTTTTTAATTTTTCTTCATATTAGGTCATATTCGCCTGTGAGCTTTGTGACCCACCTGAAGAACAGCATAAAACTTTCTATTCCATATTTTCTACCCTAATTAGGACATTGATACCAACCCTAGAATCTTGTTCCTGCAATATGCACAACAATCAACTGTATGTTTAATTTCTAATCTCCCCCCGAATATTGCAGCCTCACTCCATTAATGGAATATTTGAAAGTGTCAAAGCTTATTATGCATACTAAGTTGGTTGTTGTATGTGGTCCAACTGATCATCTTATATGAATAACTAATTAAACCATATAGTTCAATTATTATTCGGTGGCTAGTTGCAGTTTCCACCCAACTTGAATCATTCAACAACATGTCTGTTGGCTGAGTGAGTTGTGCCTGAAACATTGCACCAGTCATGTCGACTGATCGATCACTGAAACCGGCCAGTGATCTAGTTACAGTCCATGCAGATATCACATCTGCTGCAACCGTAGTTGCAGCACTTAATTGGGTGCCCATATTCAATTGGGGTGGAGGTGGGGGGTTGCAGGGAAGTGATGTGACCATGATCATATCACAATAGATGTGAAATTGTGAACTCATATTAGGAATTCCGAGTTGCTGTATTAATGTTGAGCACTTGGGGGAGTGAATGAAGTGTGTGATGTCTTTGTCTTTTACATCAATAGCATAAACAACCCTAGCTACATCTTTATCAAAAGATGGTCAATGTGTATCAGCCTACTATTACTATATCCTTCAATAATCAATTGGATTAATAACTATTTCCAGCAAACAGGTCTAAACCCAATTGATTAATCATACCTTATACCCACTTGATCATTAATTAACACTAATATATAATTCAGTAAATACATAGCCCAAAATATTTGGGTTCTCCCAGCAGGTAACCAACCAACTACAGGGTTTAATTAAATCATTAATACTGATATCCCTTTGCTTAGTTTGTTGGTGATATTTATTAAACCAAAAGTGGGGTTGGGCCGGGGTTTGGACAAACCTCTCTAATTTTCTTTTAACATAATCATTCCTCTAATTAGTAATTACTATTCACGTAAAGTGATGCAAATTTAGCTCTACACACATGTAGCCAACATAATGTTCTTACACATGCATGTACCCATGCATGTATACATCGATCATGATGACGATCTCATGCATACATGCATAAATGTTTAGAAACTGGGGTCTGAGGGTTGATACTCAACAAGAAATCAGTATGGCTGAACCCATGATCAGTGCATGAACGAACCATGAAATGGGCACCCATGCATGCACATCCTTTCATGTGTATATACTTACTTCGACAATGCATCCATGGACTATGGTGGTGTATTCGGTCCTCACAATAATAAATTAAAGGGATAGCTACAGGACCAGGCCGGCCGCTGGTCACATGGAGTGTTCCCTCTCGATTCATCAGACGGTCTGGATTAAAACCCACCAACTCATCAAGGACCAGCAGCCCTACGATCTGCCCCACATCCAACTGAGAGTACCCACACAAAAGTACTCTTCAAGGCAGCAAACAAGTCGCCACCTTTGCCACTCATGTGACCGACCACTATCCCTGTGTTGACCTGTCACTGCTTCCACTATGTCTCCTGCTCTTCTCTTGTATGTATAAAAGCTAGCCGTTCGGTCGATCCTCCACTGCAAAAACTTTAAACCCTGTATAGCGCGCAAGAGAGAAGAGAAGAACCAGAAGAAGAACAGCAAGAAGAAGAAGAAGAAGAAGAAAACAGAGTCGCAGGTGAAGGAACAGGCTCCAGGTTCCAAGAATGACGAGTCTAGGCCTTGAGATCACAGAGCTGAGGTTGGGTCTTCCAGGCGGTTGCCCACCAAAGGAGAAGAATGAAAAGAAGAGAGAGTTTTCGGAAATCGCCGAGGATGAGAACAGCTCCAACAGCGGCGGCGACCGGAAAACCCAAACCAAGACCCAAATTGTGGGGTGGCCACCGGTTTGTTCTTATCGGAAAAAGAACAACGTTCATGAGAAAGAAACTGCCAAAAATTACGTCAAAGTTAGCATGGACGGCGCTCCGTTTCTGCGTAAGATCGACTTGAACACCCACAAAGGATACCCCGATCTTGCTGCCGCCTTCGAAAAGCTCTTTGGATGTTTCGGCATCGGTAAGTGATCTCATCTCTACCGTTAATTCCTCCTCCTCTTTACATTCTGTACGTAGAAGAAGAAGAAGAAGAAGAAGAAGAAGAAGAAGAACCCTAGCCAAATTTTCAGTAATTAACCACGTGAGAAAACCCGTTTATTGTAGGATGTGACACGCGTCGTAGTAAGCACATCTAGGTAAAAACGAGATTATCCAATTAGGGGCACGTGTTTCATATTTATTGGTTCTCCAAACCATTAAAATTTGAAGAGGAAATAAATTGTTAATTCTAATTAATAAAATAAAAAATCATTTTAATTTAATTTTTAAGCAAAAATCTAAAAAGTAAAATTTAATTAAATTTTGCTTTTCAATTCTTTGTTCATGGCAGGTGGCGTTTGGAAGGACTCGGACAGTTCGGAATATATTCCCATATACGAGGACAAGGACGGTGATTGGATGCTGGTGGGAGACACACCCTGGGAGTAAGTTTATTCTCGCAATCAAACACCATCACTCTTTCAATTTAATATAAAAGAAAAAATTGAGGTAAATTTTGTATACACCATCATTGCGCTGGATAGTCAAATCAACGGCCTTGTCTTTATCTGGTGGGCCATGTACTCCATCAGATCATATGCCTTGGCTTATGCTCCGCCACATCTACCGGTTGTTGTTACATCTTTTCCTCACCGTCTGATCTCAATGAGATCCACTTGAGTACATGTAGGGCTCGTTTGGTTGGAACCGTAACTAAGAGGGTTGACTTTTGTAGACATCGGTAGACACATGACAGCTAGTTGTCGTGCGGGAAACTTTTAAAAATAAACTAAAAACAAAATAAACCAAATAATTGTTTGGCATTTTGGGTAGATGAAAGGGTTAATTTGGTCCAATTGCACACATTTCTATTCTACCTTCACACGGCTGCTTCCCTCGGTGCCTCACCTACCCGACAATGTAATAAAACGTAAACAAATTTCTCGTATATTGTCGACTATATGACAAATTTGTCCTTGTGGTACATTATTGGGCATAGATGATCTCTCAACCACAATTTCCCAGAGGATAGAAATTTTTGGTACAGTAGGTACTGTTTTCACAGTACGTATAGGTTGATACCTAGTTGTGACCATGAATTTTCATTATCCATGGATCCCACTTCGTACATATCTCATCAGATTATTTATCCCAGTTCCTAAATAGTCTATCTTTTTCCTTTTAACCATTTTTTTGTTAATTGCCAAAATAGCCAATTTCTTTTTTATTCATATATATATATATATATATATATATATTTTTTTTTTTTTCTAGAAAATTTGGAAGAGGCCTTTCGTCTTTTTTACATTGGGGAAGCTAAAAGTCAGTCAAAAATTGTTTGGTGAAAAAGATCTAAATGGACCTTCTTCTGCATGAAAAAGCCCACCCCCCACCCCAAACGTGGTTTAATAGAAAGGCATTAAAAGGATGAATTTGATAATGGATTTGTGTTTAGTTAACAAGAAAAAATTTACTTATAATACTGTTAATTATCCTTGTGCAGAATGTTTACTGAATCATGCAAAAGGCTGAGGATAATGAAGAGATCAGAGGCCAAGGATGTTGGATTGCAGTCGAGAGGCTCTCAGGGGAATCTTCAAGCACTGGTGTCTGAAGAAAAACGAGTTGAACTTAAAATTTGATCAGACTGCTTTCACTGTTCCTTTGGTCATTTCTGTTTCTTCGTTTGTTCAAATTACCCATTAGGCTTCAGCTGCTGTAGATGGCCCCAGAACTCAAAATGAGGGAGATCATTAGCCCTTCCCTATCATACATCTTAGTGTCATGTGATAGAATACATATATACATATATATATATATATGTATAGTTGCTTGTATCCTTCATTTTGAGATAAAAAAATAAATGTTATTTAGAATGTAATAGACAGAAAAGAAACAAAGGAAAAGAAAAGAGAGGCATCTTCATGGTGTTATTATGTTGTTATTGTTCTAGTGTGTGGTGGGTCATGTAGTTGTTAATTGAATAAGCTTTCTTATTAATTGAAGATGGAGTTTTTTTTGGTACATCTCAAAGTCTTCTTATGGGCATTAGCAAAAGTTATTTGTAAGCTTCAAAATGTCGTAATGTATTCGTACATATTGTACGATATGTATCAGTTTGTTAATTCATCAATACACTAAATACTAGGAATTAAGACATTTGACTATTTTTGAACTTTTAAGGTTAATACTGATGATGTAAGATCTGGTGCTTCTTGTTGATAGACAGTTCGGACGTCATACTAAATAGGTCGACTGGTCGAACTGTAAAAAGGTGATTATTAAAGTGTTTAAGTATCCTGATTCGAGGTGGACACTCTGATACTTAAGTTAATGAGCTGGTAGTTATTTGTAGAAAAACAAAAGAATTAGAGAATTGCGAGACCTAAATCGCACGTATTTTGTGAGGTTGGAGATACAGCCTTTATATAGGTTAATTGTCATGAGCCTCACAAAATACATCTGAGATCTCTGGCCCATCTGGTTCGGAGGTGATTTTCACACCTACTCCACGTAAGCGGGTAACTCCCCAGCGAGGAGAGGGAATTACCCCCNCCCCCCCCCCAACAGTTGGTCCGATTCAAGACTCCTATATCATATCCCCTCAAACCAAATGGACCCTAAATCATGCAATACACACAAAATAATGTGTAATGTCTAACAACACTTTGAACCTTATTTAAAAATTACTTAAATTGAGGTTAAGCCTCGAATACTAGATTCTTAGGGGACTCAGAATTAACCCTAGAACAAGATGTCTAGAGGAATAATGTTATGAGAGAATTTATTTATATTGAAGCTAATTGCCCAGTGGTATTAAAGATTGAGGGCATCAATTAAACCAAAATTCTGAAAGGTATATAGAGAATTCATCATTTTTATATATGTATCTACCATGTCTACGGTCTACAACTCTTTTTCTTTCTTTACATGATAGAGACATAAAATAAAGTGAAACATATGGAAAGAAAATTATCCAGGATTTTCAATAAATGGAAATGATGCTTAACTACTCATATCACAGTGAGGTGATTGTCAAACATATTGCTTCTATCAGAAGAATTGAACTGATAAAGATTATTACTCATAATCAAGTCATTTATCATGCTAATTCCATGGATTAAATTTATGCTTCCAGTGTAAGAATTAAATTGATTATTGTTCATCAACATTGGACTCCAATTCTCTCTCTCTCTCTCTGTCTCATTACTATTACACTGAGAGTGACTAGGGGAATTTATCAATTTTTCTGAATCACAAGCATAAACAGAATGGCGAAAATTCATATAGTCGATCGATCCTATATATAGGAAGTCACATCTGCACCTCACAGAATGTGTATGAAAAACGTCTCATAGTACATCTCAACCATGTATTGGAAACATCTCCCAGTGACAACTAAGGGAGATGTTCTCAATGTACGTTGGGAAATACATGTGGGATATTTTTGGGGTGCATTCTGTGGGGTGCAAATGTAAACTCCCTATATATATAGTTGGGATAAGGCTTAGGTGATGGAGATGATGATGTTGATGATACAGCCATACAACAACAACAAATGCTATAGAAATGGGAGTTTATTATTATAAGAGAAGGTGGCATTGAATTTCAGTTACATAGAGTTGAACACTTAGGCTCGTTTTGTTGCATAAAAGATAGTGAATTATTAATGATTTCCTTCCAAAAAATATTCTGTATGATAGGAAAATAACATATTTTTTGCTTAATAACTTGGAAACAATATTATGAGTTGCAATATGCAAAATCCAAAGTAACTGCATTTACCCAGGTAAGTGTTTCCCTAAGTAACTGCATTTACCCATGTTCTTTTATTTCTCATGTAAATAAGGCAACCACCATTTTAGCCATAAAAGTCCATAATTAAAAAGGGTATTTTTGTTCCATTCAAGTGTTGGCAAGTTTAAGGAAAATAAACTTTCCCTGGTCCCCACATAAATCAGAAAAAAAAAACATGGGATTCTTGGTCAATGGAACTCCTCTCAAAATCTGAAAAAAAGAAACCCCCTTAATGGTATTACACAGCATTTTACTTGTAGTAAACATGTCATCATTTTGGGGACGCCAATTTCAGCTAAAAAATAAAAAAAATTAAAATATATCAACCATTTTCCATACATTGAATCCTTGCAAACCTTCCTACAAAAGGAAATAAATAAATAAACAAAATAAATTTTAAATAATAAGCGTGTGGAATTTAAAATCTCACGTGTATGCTGCAATTCTAAAATCAAATATGCACATGATTATTATTTATTATTACCAATAATAATAATAATAAAATAAATAGATATAATATAATATAATGCATATATTGAAGAACATATGATGTTGTTATAGAGTATTATTAGGGCTTCAATCCCTAGCTTTACAATAATCAAAGCAAACATTAATCGAAGCTAATTGGAGACCAAACCCTAACTGGTCAAAATAGTATTACTTCGCACAGAGAGAGACCAACCAATCCTGAATACAAAACCCCATGTTGTTATGTTGTTTATTTATGCACAGCAGAGGCCATATAGGACATGTCCACATGATCAGTCTCCATCGTCTTACCCTACCCTTAAATCCGAATACAGAATCTAATCTGTATTTAGACATACCTAATTTTTTAATATAAATTCATCTAACCTAATCCTTTTCTGATGATAATAATCGGACGGTCAAGATCTTTTCTGCCTATCCTAGTTCTTTTATTTGTTTATTTTGAGTCAACTTAGTGGTAGGTTGGTAATTTTGGGTACAAATTAAGGGGCAATTTGGTCTTTAGAGCTACAATTAATCCCTAATTCCAACGGAATCTCCCCATCTCTCGCACACTGAGCGGCTATAGATATGGTTGATGATTTGTCCGCCACGAATCAACTTCTTTAATCGAAAAATTATCACGTTAGTTGGGGAATTTCCCGACACTAATTAGTTAATTAATTGAAAAATCAATCGAAATATTTCGTTCACTGAGATTTTTCTTCTTTTAAGGATCCGTTTGCCGGTCTCTCTTTTCTCCATTGTTGGCCTTTTTTTATTAATTGTGATGATTAAAAAATCAAGAGAGCTTTGGTTTTTTTGGACATTGGTTGCCCACTCGGGAACCCGGAACTGTTTGACGGACTGGCCGTCCATTAAAAGAGATTTCAACTATCCAAACGGGCAAACGGCATCTTAGGCTTGCAACGTTTTGGGCAGTGACTCGGCTCAATAATTCTAGCCACGTGGCAAAGATGGTTCCGGGAGGCAATCTAGACGACCCAGCGCAACTCGTGGCTTTTCCAAAAGCGGTCAAGGAGGAAACGACAAATTATCTGCCACATATATAGACTGCAGATACGATCCACACAAGAAAATTTGGCTTACCCCACACGGATGGGAATATTGTCGCAAGAGTCCCATCAATAAGAGCCATTGATGAGATCAGACAAGTGGGAGGCGTCGAATATATCGATCACACTTTCTTTGGACAAAAAAGGAAAGAGGCCAATTTATTCAAATCAGGCATCGAAGACGTAGCGGGAGACGACGTTCCACAGTGAGAATGTGAGATTTGCCTCATCTAATCAACCACACCATTCTGTTCTATTCAATTTTTGTCATTTGCTCAGCGGGGAAGGGGGCCTCGTATGAACACGAATAAAGCTAAAATATCTTGTCTGAGCAAATATGTCATGGTTGGATTTCTTCCCAGAGCCAAACTGCCCACACGGCCACACCCAAACGGCCAAATTTTTAACAAAACAGTCTTTCTAGTTATTGATTTGGGATTTACGTTTAAGGGCCAGTTTGGTTTTTAGGAATAGGAGTAAGGGTTTGGAATTGGAATCGGAATTGTCATTCTGATTTCAATTATTTGATTGGAAAGAATCAAAATCTCATTTTCATTATTTCATCTTCGTCTTTTAAAAATGAAATATCATTCCAACTTATTTTAATTTCCTTTCCAATTTCTGTCAGAACCAAACAGACAATAGAAACAGGTCATTATAATTCTGACTATAGACCAAACAGACCTTTAATTTCAAGCTTTTGAGAGTTGGTTAGGGATTAATTAATGAAGACAGGAGAACCGAAGTTGGGCAAATGTGGGAATTGGACTGAAAATGTTCCTGTTCTTCACTGATTCCTTCATTGACCTGAGGCATGGCCCCGTGGCTTCCACGTGATTATCAGATTCCCCAGAACCAGAAGGAAGAGGTTGTTATTTGTTGTTTTGTGGACTTCTCCAAGTCTATTATTAATTTATTATTTGGTGTCTGAATCGGTGCAGAAATTAAAATTTCAAGCGAAATGATTACTCTCCCACGATTCTAATTCCCGATGTTGGAAAAGATGCAGGGAACTTGGGACCCGCTAATCAATTAAGTGCACCCTAAGCAGTGCAGAAATGGCAAAAGGATCCGCTACGATGAATTATTCCCACATAGCATTATCAAGATGTTATTATGAATCAAAAGCGAGATATTCCTAATGGATAGTTATAATGTTTCGTGGGTAGAGATGTAGGAAAAACTCCTGGATAGTAGACTTGAGCCCCAAAAGTGAACATATTTGATTATTTGAATACAGCTTAAATTTTTAATTGAATGGTTTTTTGAGATAGTATCAAATTCTCTCTCACCATTATCAACTGCTTTAATGTTTGATTCATGTCGCCTAATTATAGTTAATTAAATTTCAGCATAAAATATTAATGAATGGGTTTACTCTTATTCATGAGTGAATGGGCATGTTACAGAATATAAACTTATTTGGCAACTTTCCTTATAAATTTATAACTTTTAGGTTTAAACAATTTTTAGGCTCCATTTGAAACGACTAAAAATACAAATATGTAGGGGATGTTTAGAATCATGACCCTTTTTCAAAAAAATGGTGCCATGTCGGATCCATATACGCATTTTAATAAATGTCCATGTATCTTATTGTTTGGTTCAGCCAATTATTAAAAAATCGGGCATGCCTCAAAAATCTGGACCCCACCGATGCATGAAATGCCAAATTGATGTGTATCCTATGTGGTCTTTACCTGTCAGTATATACATAAAAAACGGTAATGAAAATCACCTTACCAAACAGCCTAATGTTGCTCACTGCTTACGTAGTAGAAGCATTTTTTTTTTTGTGAAAAACGGGTTTTAGAAGCATGGGTGTTTTTTCTTGAAAATCGGTCCCAAAAAGCACCCATGCTTCCAAACACCATGGTAGAGTTCAAAACTTTTAAATTTTGTATATATTTGTATTTGTACTCGTTTCAAACTAGGCTTAGTTTGAAAAGAATACAAATATAAATATAAAGAGTTCAAAACCCTGTATTTTGATTTTTTTGTATATATTTACACTGTACATATTTCATATTGTATTTATACTCTTTTCACATAGAACCGTAGCTAAGGTTCAAAGTATCGACACAGTCCTATATGCCCTACCTGCATATAGACCTATATCAGTGTTTTTTTTTAGTTTTATTTATTTTTTAATACCGGTTCAAAGAGGTCTGTTTAAGTCCCGGCTACTTTTTGAACTATGGTCTAACCCAATACCCCCTAGAGGAGCGTATCAAGAAGCCATCGGCATAATACATATCGATACTTTAAACCTTGGAAGTAGCACAATTTATTTACACTGATTGCAAAACTATGATAGTATATGTGATTTGGATGCAAATTTAGATTTACTTTTGTTTCAAATTCTATCTTAGTTTGTTTGGTTGCAATATAAAAGAAGTAAAATCCAAAATAAAACTAAACTAAAATTTGCTTTGATTTTTCATTTACATTCCCATACATTTGTACTTGTAAGAATAAAATTGCACTTCAACCAAAGACACAGCCTTAATAACACCAATGTTACAAGAACAGGTGCCAAAATCTGGCCCAATTTGGCATGGTTCATTTCAGAACGGATTTGATTGGCACAATGGCACCAGCACCTCGGTCCAATTTGGCAGTCGAATTCTTAGTGGGTGTGAACACCGGTGCTGATTTTAGTTTGTTAAGTAAAATATAATAATATATTAGAAGCCTGATAATAAATTATACATAAAACAGTAATATACTCAAATATTTGGTTTAATTTTTCCAATCCAATTGCACTTGAGCACTTGTTCAACATTTTTTTTTGGGTAGTAGACCATAAATTCTTAGTCAGTTGTTTAAAAGGAAATATTCTTTTTGATTGGCCAAGACTTACTCTATACTTCTAGAATGTGTCTCAGTCTAGGGCTACAGAAAGCATAATTATGACATCGGGCCCCTCGTATATCGCCATCCGCTCAGGACTCGCGTAAGGATGTATGACCCATTTTAATTAATTCAGGTCTTATTTTCAATGCTTTTCTTTGAAAATTCTCCTCAACACTCCCACCATCCAATTTTTGCATTTTATAATCACCATATAACAGTCATATTTCAAACTTTCTCTAGTTTCTCCACGTGGGACCCATTCCCTAAACTGGAGTCATTTATTTAACCCAACCCAACTGCTGAAAGTTTAAATACTGAATTCTTAGCATCCGTTTGGGAGGGTTGAAGTGAGCAGCTTTTTCATACATGCATTGAGAAGGGATAGCCGGTGGATAGGTAGGAGTGGAACAAAATGAGGATTATCGGTGCACACTTAATTAGAAATGATTAAAGTGCTAATAATTTAAGGTCTGTGTAGTTCGTAGTTAGAATTGGAATGGCTTATTCCCATAGTCTGTTTGATTTAAACATGAATGAAAATAGAAATTAGAATCAATAAGAATGAGATTTCATTTTCAAAAAAAAGGCAGGAAATGGTCATTCTCTCGTATGAGTAAATATCATTTCAGCAAAAATGAGAATAAGATTCTAATTCTATTTAACCAAACAGTTGTAATCGGAATAATCCATTCCGATTCCCATTCTAAACCCCTATTCATGTGAATCAAATGGGGACTAAGAATTTGACATTAAAAGAAATAAAATGGCCAAACATGATAGACGTAACCAACCCCCACCCCCATGTAATTGGGATAAGCCTTAGAACAGCCTATCAGTCATTGTTTGGTGAAAAATGCGAAAAGTCCAAATCAGGTATCAATAAAGTCATTTGAAATTTTGAATGGCTGTCTACTTGAGCCTCTTTGAATAGGTTACCTGAAAAAGGCAGATGAACCAGCTTAGCCGAGTTCCCAACTGGGAGGGCTGAGGCATAGTAACTCTTGGCTTTTCTGAGGTGCTGCACTCTACACAAACAACCTTTTTAAGGCCTAGTGCGTTTCGTGTTACCTGAACAAATGATTCTTGGGGAAATATTATCTGGATACTCACAACTACAATGTTTGGTTCGGGAAACATTATTTAAGTAAGGTGAAAAAATCCATGTGATTTCAGTTTTCAGCTTATGGGTAACTTATCTACCCTCCAAGAGTTTTGAAAAAAAAAAAAGTTTCTTTGGGCCCCCATGGCAACCGCCCTCATTTTTACCCGAGATCCCAAAACAACTGAACCAGTTTAACTGAATATTCAGTTAAACGCTCCCAAACGGAGCCCTTAACACGGAAATGCTGAATCGCTCCTTGACCTCCAATCTAGAGGTCCTGGACAGACTCGGTCTAGCGTGACTCGAAAGACGAAGCCTACTTTAGTAATTAAAAAGAATATAAAGGGGTGTTATTCGAAGATAATGACAGTTGAATACAAAATTGAACAACGTAGTCAGGAAGGACTCGATCCCGAAGACCCCTAAATCCCGGTCACCGACCCATGATTAGGCCTGCGCTTTTGGTTACAACTTACAAAGCCGCGTCCCGGGGCCTCGACTCAGATGTACACGTGTCAATCCCATTCATAAATCCCCGTCCGCTCTGCTCATTTAAGAGGAAAAGTTAAAGAAGAGAGACACGTTGCCGACATGCCAACACATTCACATGCACCTGGCGGGACCCACCGCTATTGGGACTGCAGTTTCATGCACATGGGCTCATACTAAAGTTGACCCTCCGCTTGAAAATACAAACTCGTGGTCTCCACCCGCTTTTCTCCCCCCTTTCCACTGTAATGATGTACAACATTATTGAGAACCCGACTACTTGATCGAAATAACCTCGGTCCCCATCGTATCAACTGACGGTCCAGATTGGGGTGGGGTCTACATCAGGTGGATCGTGCAGGGTTCTACAAAATTCCTGCATGTACGTGTCACATGTTAGTCCGTGCCCATTTGGTTAATACGGGAAATATGATAATGATGTATGGTCTTATAAGAAAGGCTGGATCGAAACAGATTGAACTAACCCGACAAGGGCCTAAACTCCAAAGCACCCAACATAGCGCTTGTCCGCTAAGTGAACTAATCCCAGCCGCTCCTTTCATGCTTACGTGTCAATCGTGAAGTGGTTGATCCCTATTTGCCGGCAACATTCTCCCATCGATATATACCCAGCACGCCCAGCAACCCAGCTGATCAAACGCTCATCTTTAGGCTTTACCTCCACCCCACCGTGAAGAAGACTTGAGAGTTGAGAATTTGGGAAAGCTCGGCCGAATTCCTTGCACAGAAGATCAGAATGTCGCCGGAGACGGCCAGGAACCCACCGGAATCTGAAGTCACTGGCCTGAATTTCAAGGAAACAGAGCTGACCTTGGGTCTACCGGGTGAATCACGGACTCAGGCAGAGATTGTTTCCAAGAACAGCAAGCGTGGATTCTCGGAAACCGTTGATCTGAACCTCGGGAGTTCGAGTAGCAGCGAAACACGTGGCAGAAGTCAGGTCGAAGAGCAAGGGGAAAGTGAAGCCCCCTGTGCAGGGAAGCCTCCAGCTTCAAAGTAAGATCCCGAGATGCGTTCATCATCAACTCTTCTTCTTCTTCTTCTGTTCGATCTATGAAGCATTAATTGTTTGATTTGTATTTTTAGGGCACAAGTGGTTGGATGGCCACCAGTGAGGTCGTTCAGGAAGAACGCGTTGAAGAGCTGCACGTACGTGAAGGTGGCCGTGGACGGAGCACCGTATCTACGGAAGGTAGACTTGGAGACGTACTCCAGCTACCAGCAGCTGTTGAGCGCTCTGGAGAATATGTTCACCTGCTTCACCATCCGTATGTATTTTAACCGTATATGGATTTCGTACACCGTATATACGCTGTAGAATTACGGAAATAGACTCGAACAAGGGAGATTAACTTGGTTTTGTATTTTGCAGGTAACGTTCTAAACGAGAGGAAGCTTATGGATCCCGTGAACGGAACCGAATACGTTCCTACTTACGAAGATAAGGACGGAGACTGGATGTTGGTCGGAGACGTCCCGTGGAAGTAAGTTTCCTAAAATACCCTCGCCGGAGTTAGAGATTTGACCGAATTAACCCTGTCTTTTATTCTTCTTATTATTAAATGAAAAATGCTTTAATTTCTTTGCTTAGATGCGGAAGAAACCGAGCTGTAAAGCACCCACTCGCTTAGATAGTTTTGTTTGTTTGTGGATCGTTTCTGACCAATCGATTTACTTTTGTTTTTTCTTTTGGTCGAGTGCAGAATGTTCGTCGCATCATGCAAGCGTATTCGATTGATGAAAAGCTCAGAGGCAGTCGGATTAGGTAAATTTCTGTTTACTTTCATGTTGTCTGTTTCTCTTGGTTTCGTTTGGTTGGTTGAAATAGTAATTTTTGTTGTATGTTTGGTGCAGCTCCAGGGACCCCCGCACAATCTGCAAGCGCGTCGTGATCAGAGAAAGGAGCCCCCATTGGAGGGCATTCGTCCTTTGTCTGATACAGTAGAACTTGTACAGATATTGTTCCAATCGTTTTTTTTTTTTTGTGGGTTTCTTTTTTTTTTCTTTTCTGTTTCTGTTTAGTTTCCTTTTATTGGGGCCTGGGGGAGTCTTGATTAACTCGGAGGTGGAGAAGGAGGAGGGATGGAAGAGAAATAAGGAGTTGAGAGACCTGCCTGTAATTATGTATTCTTATGTTACTGGTGCAGCTACTGTAGTCTAGTCGGCTTTTCTAGTTATAACTCCAGTCACACTCTTCTTATACTAAGGAAAAGAAATAAAAAGAAGAGAAACTGAGGAAAAAAAAGGTTTATTTGATTCATAATTTTTTGAGTAGCTCATAAGATGCAAATCAGTTGACTAAAACAGAACGATTTCGTCTCTTTTGTTTCAGGTTCACGACACAATGTAGGATCTACAAATCAAAGATAAATAATAAAATGGGTTAACGTTTGGATCGTACGATCGCTCTAATTCTCTTTGATGGTTTAGTCGTCTGAAGTTGAATTCATAAATCCTGCGTGTAATAGCTAGGAAATTTTAGGTTCAAGAGAGCCGTGGGCACATGGCTGTGAATTGATCCAATCGGTTGTAGGATCGGGAGTATCAGAATTCCATCTAAGTTAAATTAATACTCTGCTCCGAATATAATCATGTCATTCTTCTGATGTTTATACCAGAGAGAAAGAGAGAACTATATGGATTTAGGCTGTGTTTGGTTTGATAGAAAATAAGAGAGAGAAACAGAAAGCTGAAATTACTTCAGAATTTTTCCTCAAATTTCTTTTTTTCTCTTGTTTTCTGGCAGACCAAAGATCACAATCAAATCCAGTAGGAGATCAAGGGACTGCTATTCAATGTTCCAGGAGGTTGAAAAGTATAATGAATGTTTATTGGTTTATTTGAGATATGCATCGGGAGTCATACAATCATCTTAGTGGAGCAAATAAAACCCGGGGGATTGGACTTTGGAACCGTAGCTGGATCTAGTTAGGGCCACCTTCCATGTTGGAAGAACTGAAATCATCTTTATTAAACTCTGTTTTCCTAAAGGCTTTATAATTACATGCATTAATCAAACTTTCCGTCACAGGCTCTCGGCCCTGATTAATCAAGATGGATGCAGATGAGAGCATTAGCTGTACATGTGCAATCAACAATGAGCGGCAGAATTCTCTAGTGTGGTTCAGTAGGTTTGTAATGCTTTTTGCATCTCGGATCAAGGAGGCGTTGAAAACCCTCTTGGAAAACTAGGGCTCCAACTGTTCCAGGATTCATCTATGATCTATGCATCAATGAAGAACAGTGTTGGAGCCATCCAAATTTGCTTTAGTTGCATTATGAGGGGCGTAGAGATGAACCTTCAAGTTCACATGTATTATGATGAACACTGTTTTGTATGTTTAAGGAGGAGGATACAGCACTAGCAAAATGGGATTTTTCTTGGAGGGGAGGTAGGACTCCTCTACTGCACAGAAACCTAACTTTGGCAGGTTCAGAAGAAGTGTTGGGAGGCCTCTGAGCTGGAGCCTTGGGGAATTTAGGCTTAACATGCCAAGCCACATAAATTTGTGTGTGCTCTTTTCAGTATCACCTTTGATTTTTATTTATTTTTTGTTATTTATCTATTTTTAGGCTCTGTTTGGGAAGAATACAAGTACAAGTTCTACAAGGCTTTGCAGTGAACGTATTTGTATTTGCATTTTTTACAAATACAAATATGTAGGATATAAAACCTTGTATTCTGTATTTATTTGCAGTTTTGCACTGTATATATTTATATTCCTTCCAAACTGAGCCTTGGGGAGAATACAAATACACAAATATAGGTGTAAAACTTTATATTTTGTATTTTAAACCTTGTATCTGTACTATACATATTTATATTTATGATCTTTCCATACTGAGCCTAAATGCCATACTGCGACCATGGTCATTGCTGGTGCTTCTATTTTGCATTAGATGGTCGAAAGGAGTGTTGAGACCATGGTGGAAATAAATGAAACACAGGATGGATTGAAAATTTCTCCCCCACAGCCCCACCTTCCCACCCCTCTTTCAATTTCAAAAATAACCTTGCACACATGAACAAACCCGTGTTACTTACACATAGGACCCACATGGCCCACACTACATGTGGACCATATATATACATACATATATATAGAACATTGACATGTTCACTCGTGATTGATTATGTACCCATTACACAGATCTGTCTTGCAGTCGATCTACTCTTACATATCTGCCAAAGTAATAATACAGAGCCTCTGCAGAGTAGAAGAATGCATATGGAAGGGTTATATGCCAAAAGCAAATTAACCCAAGCTAAATTTAAATCGAGGAAGTGATTTGGGCACATCACACACCCTAACTATATTTAGGGAAAAAAACCTACATGTTTTAAAAAGAACCGGCTCACTCCCATAAATCAAATATATTAGAATATATGGTGGGATATTAACCTGAATTTAGTAGAGATTTACACCATCGAATCTAGACCAAGACTCCCAAAATATTCGAATCTGAACCACTCAATTACATGCTCTATATCTTAGGGTTTAAGGCCACAAAACTAAACATCCTTTTCTTGATTAGGCCTTTAAGGTAGGGATAAGGATCCATTGATTGGTGGGGTCACCCTCTTTACTTCTTTAACACTAGGCAAGCTTTGGCCAGTAGAAGAAAGGATATTGGGTGAAGATGGAATTGATCGTCTGTCCTATAACCACCCAATGGATAGACTTCACCACTTAAGCTAGATAGACTCGTTTTTTATGTTTAATTGGTGAATCTAGTCTTAGAGATAATGTGATGGATGTAGTTTCCGAACAAAGAATGGTACTGATGGGTACGCCTTGTTCCCTTGAGAAAGAGACGTGATGGAATAAGCCCACCGTACTGGCCCATTGTTTTGTACTCGGATTGTTACCATGACCGACAGAATTGATCCACATGGCCTTGGATTCTATGCCACAACTACCTTTATATACTAAACTTTTTCAGCTTCCTAATATTTAAACAATTATCAGAAGTTTTTTAATAGGGCTCCGTTTGTTTTGATTTTAAAATTGGTAAAAAAATTTCTGGGTTTTGTGATGAAAACAAATTAGAAGGGGTGGAAAATAAGGTTGGCAGAAATAATTACTGTAATGTTTCAGTCTGAAAAGTTTTGTATCCATTTAAAAGAGAAACAAGTGCTGCCCAATTGTCTATTTTAATTGATGAAAAGTCTTGTTCACTGGTTGGTTTTATAAGGACATCACTATGCTTTTCTGCCTCTGTTCTTTTGCAGCTTTCATAAGATTGTGTTTGGTCTGATATTTATAAAAAAAAAAAAAAAAATAGGAGAGGAATAGAGAAGTTGAGGGAAAATTCTTAAATTTTTGTGAAATTTCTCTCTAAACTTTTCTACCAAACCCATCGCTGCCTAAGGGGGAGGGGCAATGGAGAAACTTAAAGCTTCAATTGCTCAATGGGAGGCCTTGATTGGACCGGAGCTTGGTAGATGAGTAGGGCTGATGGGTCAGAATATGACTAGCTCAACTTCTTTGATGATGAGATACGAACTTGCAACCTCTTTCAACCTTACTGGACTTACCAACTTGTTCGTCCTTTCTTGCCATCGATCCATGCATTATTTATTTATTTATTTATTTTTGTGAGCTGTGTGTTCAATAAGAAACAAAAACATGAATAATCAGGTTTGAGGGAGCTTAGATTGCCAAGGATCTTAACCTGAGCTCCCATCAAATTCTGGTTAGTGCTACTATTTTTGTTTTCAAATTCTTAATCCAAATTCACCTTGTATCAGTTGTTAGATCTCGTGGACTTCTCTTTCTCATTGTTCCTAAGGCTGTGTTTGGTTGCAGTGCAATTATATTTGCATTAGTACAAATGTATGAGAATGCAAATGAAAAAAATGTAAATTTTGGTTTAAATGTGTTTTGGGTTTTACTTTGTTCTACTTTTGTGTCTTATTTTACTTCATTTTTATTGCAACCAAACAAAATAAAGTGATATTTGAAACAACAATAAACCAAAACTTGCACCCAAATCATTTGCATTTCCATAGTTTTGCATTAGTATAAATAAATTTGCACTGCAACCAAACACAGCCTAAGGTTCTTCTACTTGTTAATCAGTGCAAATCTGAATGCAATAATAGTAAAATCTTGGGCTGGAGAGTGTAAGAGCACAGGTTTGAGTCTAAGAATAGCCATTTTATGCAAAAAAAAAAAAAAAAACCTTTTAAACCAATCGGCTATTCTACTGTTTGATCCTCACCGCCTCCATTATACTCAATTAAATTTTAGCACAAAGGTATGAGTGAACCTGTGCTTGTCTAGGCTTCAAGCCCAATCGGCTTTAGCATAAAGGGGCATGTTAGAAAATAAAAAACTATTCAAGGACCTTACTAACATCTTAAGCTTTTATGTCGAACAGTTACTTGACAAAAACACCAAAGATTAGGACCATACCTGGTCTACTCTTACAGTGACCCCATACTGGGACCAACATTGGGCAATGACCTCAATAAATATTATACCCAGTTCAAATTTTCATCCATTTGTCTATTATATACAAAATTTGCACCATCTTTCTCCTACTTTGATTCTCTCTCATATAAAGTGCGATGACATCATTTTACTTCTTTGAAAGTTGAAACAAACAACCTTTCTCTTTGTATTTGTATTTGTACATACAAAATATACATATTTATATTTGTACTCCTTCTAAACTGAGCTAATGGGAATGAAATTTGCGGTACAAACAAAAGGGAACCTCACACCGAGAATAAGTAGAAAAGGAGTATCCTTGGTGTGCAAAGTTTACTGGATGAAATTATTTATCAGGGGTATTTCACGGTCCAAAAGAATACATTCTATATGCATTTCATGAATTGGATTTGATCTACATACAGACTATGAGGCCATAATCTAAGCAAAGCAACTATAGACTTGAGCAAAGAGTTAAAAAGAAGATGAAGACTGACAACTATAGAGACTGGAGAGATGGAAAGCTTGAGAATCCTCCTTTACTTATTTTAGAGGTGTCCTTTCAACATAGCTGGAGCTACAAGCAAATCAAAAGCAACAGATTAGACCACCCAAGCTGGTTTGATTCTGCTTTTCTTTTGCACAAACAATCCCTTTGTGCCAACTCCATCTAATGGTGTGGTTGTTTTGTTCTTTGTACAATGAGTTACAGGTCCTATTGGACAGGATAGGCTTTTAAATTTATTCCAAGCACAATAATACAAAATTATTCTTGATAGAAGACTTTACATTAAAAGTAAATAGAAAGTAGCAAGATAGCATGGAAGTGCTTTTATAATAAGACAAATTATTTTTGCTTTTGTTAAAATACTTGAAGGTGGGAAAGAATACCTGTACCTGTCAAGGAAGAACAAATGAACAATACTTGCTTTTTAAAATATACCTGTATTAAACAACCCTTTGCTTGATAGTCAACACTAGCGACTCACGGACAAGTGTTTTAAAAATTGACATCTCGATGTTGACATGGAAAGCTAGTTTGGTGACGGGTTTGACGGTTCAATCAAATGGTTCACCCATCTGATGACCCAATAGTTGAGATGGTCACTTGGCGTCCCCCAAATATAGAAGAGGTGGTCCAAATCTTCGTGATAAGGTCAAAGACCTCATGTTCTTGCACCCTGCTCTGTCCCCACCCCTTTCCTTGTATTGATGTTGTGGCTTTAACTCCCATGTGGACCAGACGCTACATGCTAAACATAGTCAGTGGGTTAGTGATAGGTTTGGTATGACTTATGAGGGGCCATTACTTGACGTAATGATAAAATTTTGGACTGACAAATGTGAGAACACAGGTTCGAATTGGAGAGTGGGTTAGAGATAGGGTGCGACATAAACTGTAAATCATAGCCTTAGATGTATTATTGTGACCCCACCACGACATCATTTCAGTTAATTCAAGGTGGGGCAACATCAATGGGCTTTGATTTTATGGTTTTAGCGCGGCTAAAATCATGTTGTAGCAAAAATAGATACGAGGATTACTTTACAACCAACTTAACATCGAGTGGATTTGCAAGTTGCAACTAGATGGTTTACTAGGGAATCGATTTGTCAAAATCTTTTCCTCGAGATTATAGCCTCGTAGCATTCATCAAGTGTGCTCCATAGCACATCTCAACCATGTATTGGGAACATCTCACCATCAAATATTCTTAATACACACTGAAATCTGCATGTGGGGCATGTGTTGGACCCTCTATGTGGGGTGCCGCTCTGAACTCATATGCAACTGTTATAACGTTGTTGCCATGGATATGTCAAAAATCAACTTGAAAATCACCTACTGATTCCTGAAGCCATCTCCCAAAGCAGGCAAAGCTTCAAGCATCACCCTAAATGAAAAGACCAAATCAACACTAACTGATTTTTCTTGCTGATATTTTGGGAGGCAACCTTACCGAACAGGATTTTTGAGAATCAGCGGAAGTGACATTTTTTATTTTATAAAGTAGAAGCAACAAATCGGTTTCTTCAACCAAACATGGAACACCCCCAAAAGGACCCGAGTCCTGGTCAGCTGTCGGCATCATTGGTTGAGTCTACTTGGGCTTGGTCTGGCCGGTTGATGAAACTAGGTTCCGATGCTGGGTAAACCCGGGTCATCCGGTCTGATCCGAGGTGTTCACCTAACCAGAAAAAAACAGTTAGCTTCAAATGGAACAAGGAGGTTGGCCAGAATGTCAACAAATAAAAGCGGTTAAATCCAGCCGGATAACTGAAAAGGACAGAATTCCCAATCATGCTTAATCCAAACAGATGCCCCGAATTTATTCCACGCTCACTATCAAGTAGGATGTTTCTACTCCACCTTCTTCCTCCGCGGAATTATGAATTCCTGTTCGATTCCGTGGCTTTTTCTGATGTCGTGACTGCAACTGCATTATTTTATGAAATCTCTCCCAAAGCCAACTCACCGGATTTGATTATGCCGGCAGTGACACCGACGGGCTAACCTCCTCTCCGAGGAGTAGGACGCAAGCGTCCATCATGTGTGCGTAATCATGAATATCAAGCCAAGGGGCTCATGTTAGCACCACCCATGTCCCACTGCTTTCCTTTTGTCGAGAATAGCTAAATGCTATGTTTCTAATTTGCTAGCCCGCTAGCCGGAAACGGGAATTTTCCTCTACCAATAAGGCAATAATGTCATGCTAACATGCGCTGATGATTTCGCAGATCACCGCCGTGTCTGCCTTCGGATTACCTAATTAGTAGTAAGTACACAATCGGCGCATCTTAGCAATCTTTGTCGATTTCTTATTTTTTTTTAAAATTGTTTTTTTTTTCTATTTTTCTGAAATCTGGCCTACCACCGAACAACGACTCTTTCTTTTTTTTTTTTAATTTAATTTTTTTCTTTTTCTTTTTTCTGAGTCGTACCTGTTTCTCTCAGAAAATGTCATCAGTTCTCTTCAACCGAGAAACACTTATTGATCCGAGTTCATGGAGGTGGAACTTCTCAGAAGCTCGAAACCCTCAAGAACCTTCAAATGCCTGTGAAGACTGAAGAAGTTCAACCTCCGACTCTGCTCCGCTTCTCGTCGCATTACCTGTGTTGTTCTTAAACCCTGAAAATTTTAGGATGGTGAGTTCCGGATCCGTTCCTGAGATGGATGCCTAGGGTTTCTTACTCAATTTCGTTTCTTTGCTCGAGATCCGGTTTCTTTACAGTGGTTTCGAACCTCGAACTGCGAAAAGCAGGTATTTTTTACTCTTACTTTCTTCTTTTCCTACTTTTTTTTTATGGCGTTTATCTGATCATGTGGCATCTAGGGTTTTCGCATCAATTTTGAACTTTTCGCATGTTTATGAACGTTTTGCGCTACTGGGGCGTTATCCATGTTAGCAAGATCCAACTTTCTCTCATAAAATTCATGTCCATCACAATGATCTAAGCGTTATGTTCCAATGGCGTTCCAGATCTAGAGTTCTGTCCATTGAATTAGCTGCTTTGGATTTCACCTAAGGCTTCTATTTTTTGATGACCAGAGGATTAGGTTTCTCCGGCGGTTCTTTCCCGGCCTGTGAAGGTTTCATTTATTAAATTAGTGGAAATGAGCTTGATCTAGGCTTTGTCTTTGACCAACGTCGAAATCATGCTGAAGCAATTTCTCAGCAGACTTCCTCGGAAGTCAGCCAAATCTGATGCTGCTGATACTGCTGGGAGCAATTCTGTTAACAATGCCGCCACTACCGGCAACGGAATCCAACGTACAAACAGTGGGAACGCTTCCTCAGGCAGGTCAAGTGCTGTTAAAAAGATGTCTTCTGCCGTTTTCCCAGCAAGTGTCATCGCTGGAATTGAACCACTTTTATCTTTCAAGGACGTTCCGAATCCAGAGAAGCAAAACTTGTTCATTAGTAAGCTGAACCTCTGCTGCGTGGTTTTTGACTTCAACGATCCAAATAAGAATACTGCGGAGAAAGATCTGAAACGTCAAACATTGATAGAGCTGGTCGAATTTGTTGGTTCTGGGTCGGCCAAGTTTAATGAACCAGCGATATCGGCAATCTGTAAAATGACTGCCGTTAATCTTTTTAGGGTTTTTCCTCCTAATTACCGGTCCAATTCGACTGGTGGCGAAACTGAAGATGAAGAACCAATGTTTGATCCTGCTTGGTCTCATCTGCAAATCGTGTATGATTTACTGCTTAGGTTTGTAACTTCTTCTTCACTTGAAACAAAGATAGCAAAGAAGTACATAGACCACTCATTTATCTTGAGATTACTTGAGCTGTTTGATTCGGAGGATCCAAGAGAAAGAGATTGTTTGAAGACTATCCTGCATAGGATTTATGGAAAGTTCATGGTTCATAGGCCCTTCATCCGGAAGACTGTCAGCAATATATTTTACCGTTTTGTCTTTGAAACAGAACGTCATAATGGAATTGCTGAGCTCTTGGAGATTTTCGGCAGTGTAATTAGTGGGTTTGCTTTACCACTGAAGGAGGAGCATAAGATGTTCTTGTGGAAGGCTCTGATTCCTCTACACAAGCCAAAATGCATGGGTTCTTACCTTCAGCAATTGTCCTATTGTGTTACACAGTTTATAGAGAAGGAGCCCAAATTGGCAAGTTCAGTGATAAAGGGGTTGTTGAAATATTGGCCTGTAACAAATAGTCAGAAGGAACTGATGTTTTTGGGTGAGATGGAAGAGGTTTTGGAAGTAACAAACATGGTAGAATTCCAGAAGATCATGGTCCCCTTGTTCCGGAGGATTCGTTGCTGTCTTAACAGCTCGCATTTCCAGGTAACTGTTATTTCTTTTTCATTTTTGTTTGTATTCTTATATTTGTTATACTTTTTTCTTTGTAAGCTAGGAATTGCATCTGTTTCTAGCTTTTTATGGCTGTTCTACAAGGTGCCATCCAACTTGCTTTCCCTCTTGTTGCAAAATTTCTGTTCTGGTTTCTAGGAGGAGAACCTAGCAAGATTATGGTTCTTATTTGCATGTCAAGTCCTTTATACTTTCTTCAAAAAAAGGCATTACGCCTATTAAATTGAAGACTTAAATGCATCTAAAATATTTTACTAGACACCATCAGTTTCTATGTTTGGTATGTTTTTCTAACATGCAAACTTTTAAATTCTAGAAAAGGATCTCCTCTGAAGTTTTGGAGTCTGAATGGTTAACTAGGAAATGGGAATTGCACTGGCTTCTTAAAGTATTCAGTAAACGGTAATGTCTACATCCTGCTTTAAGATCAGCCAAATTGGAAAATGTTCACACTAGGTCAAAATGGGACTGTTTATTTCATCAATTGGATTTGTTCAAACATGCCTTTTGTATAGGTGCTATAATAGCTAAACATTTTACTCCTCTCTGGGTCGACTTTCTTTTTTCCTCAAAAAATAATACAGTCGAGATTTTGTGTAAGCTCTTGCTAATGTATGAGTTACTGACTTACTTCTTCCCTTTCAATCCGGATATCTTCAATGCATGTTAGTGGCTCTGCCAAGTCTTTTTTGATTTATTGGTCTTGCCAATTTCCTGCGGATTAAAAGCTCCACTGTAGTAAGTGGAGCTTTGGGAGTGGTGGACAGGATACAAGGCATAACTTCTGACATATTTTGCAGAGTGGCTGCTCCAAGCCTCAAACCTGTTTTCTCACACTTGTTAACACAAGATTTTACTATTCCACAAAGCAATATATATCCCCTTTATAAAATAAAAAATTGGAACGTAACATGGCGACTTCTTTTCGGTTTCTGCCTTCTGCCTTCCCTCTGTTAATGGATCAACCACCCTTTGGTGGGGTAGGGGTAGCAGAAAAAGTTCCTAGCCGCTTGGCCTGTAGTCAGCATCTAATCCATTGCTTTAGGCGCCAGCACTTTCAACCATTGGTTCATTGTAACATATAACTAGTTCATTTGCTTTCTTTTTTTTCGGGTGATCAACTGGAAAATGCAGGCTAATTCAAAAGGGCGCCCCTTGTTGCGGTTTCAGTTACAGGGTAAAATTGTCCTACTTACTCATGAAGTGCATTTCCCACATTCAGTTCTTGCATAGGACAAATAAAATGTAGAAAGCAAGTTCCATGAGACAGCAACTGTTCACATAGGCTATGGAAGACCTCAATGTTAAATTTCTTAAATTTCAGTTATTATTCAGTAAAAGTGGTAAGTAAACCCAGTGGAGTTTCTAGCAAAAAGTTTCAGGATTTGAATAATTGGTAGATTTGGCTCTAGATAAACAATCAATATAATCATAGTGAACCAGATGTGGGTTTGGATTGTGGATTATAAATTTAGGTCTTTTATGTGGATTATCATGTTTGAGAATTTGGGTGGAGTCACACTTAACAAGTGACCTAGTATAAGGCTGTTTAAAATAGTACAAGGTTACAGAAAGAAACGAGTCAGTGGGGTTCCAGCACAAAAACTTTGGGGATTGAACAATTAGTAAATATGAATCATGGATGGTAAATAGATATTAGGTTCGATTGTGAATTCCAGAAGTTGAGAACTGGGGCATCCCCATTCCCTGTGTCCATAAAGCAATTATTTGGTATACTGTACATCCTTGGGACCTGAGTGTTGGGTGCCTAGATTTCAAATGGTTCCCTTTGGGGTTGTCATGTATGGTTTGGATTCATGATCAGGGATTCTGCAGGTTTTCCTCAAGTAGGTGAACTAGTCGAGGGATACAATAGGGTGCCATCCAAGTTTTCCAAGGATAATACAGCCAAAAAAAAGCCATGCTTTTCTTCTCATGCCCTTTTTTCCAAGTTTTCCAAGTACTAGTAATGCTGCTGCAGCCTTTTCTGTGAGAACAGTGATAAAAATGCAAATAGTGTCCAGGAACGAAATTTATACATGCAGCTACATCTGAGGTGTCTCTTGGTAATTATGTTCACAACCACCTGTGGTTTCTGTTAGAGGTATGCATGATGCTCTTATATTTCCAAATGAGAACTATTGTTTGGTTTCTCTGCAGTCTTTTAGAAGTTCAACATTTGCTTCTTGCAGCTTTAATGCACAAGTATTTTGGAAGCATCTACTGTAATCTTTTAAAAAGCCCTTTTTCCTATTTGTTTTCTGCTTTGGTGGTTGACACTGAGAATGTTGAAGATGTGATTTGACCCCAGGTCTGGGGTTTGACTCCACCAACACTACAAACTAGGTTAGGCATAATCCTCTCTATTCAAAGGTCTTCTTGCTGATAATTAGTTTTGGGCAATATTCTTATTGCAATTGGCAATAATGGATTGCGATAGACTTTTCCTTACATTCGTATCTCTGTTCATGAATTCATGTCACTTGAAATGACATGAGTTTCTGCCTTGAAATACTAAAGAAAACTGAAGTGAAAAAGATCTCTTGTTCAATGTGAATTAAGTTTATGTGTTGGGCTGCATTAATTTTTTATAATTTGTCAGTTTTCTTTTTTGTAAATTGTTTATATCATAACAATTTAGCAATTGAAAGGATGTGGATAGGATAATCAGTATATCCTCAATTTAATTTTACATATTTTACTGTTCACTGATTTTACATTAATTTTCCCCAGAATCCAACTTCTGAAATAAGTCTTTCAGTCAATTACATGAAAAGCCTATGCCAACTCTCTCCATTTCATTTTTGATTGATGGTTTTGATGTCAATTAGTTGGTCATAAACATAAGAAATTGGTTTGTCAAAATAAACAAATAAACATAAAGAAAATTGGGATTCATTTTATTGGACTTCAACTAGCAACACCTAGCAACTTTTCCCAGATATTTGGGGATGTAATAGGATGGGTAGACTTTCTTCTGGTTGACTTGGCAGGAAGCTTCTGTTTCTAGCATACGAGTTTTGGAATCAAGTTGCCGAAGCATGTATTGGGTGTTGGGTCTTGAAGCCAAATTTCATTGGTGCATCAGTAAAGAAATGAAGTTAACCTTTATCGAATACTGATTATTTCAGGTGGCTGAGCGGGCCCTCTTCTTATGGAACAATGAGCACATTGTCAGCTTGATCGCACATAACCGGCAACTAATCCTGCCCCTCGTCTTCCCAGCCCTGGAAAAGAACACCAGGAACCACTGGAACCAGTCGGTTCTCAATTTGACTGTAAACGTAAGGAAAATGCTTTCAGAATTGGATGATGAGCTTGTTCTTACATGCGAAAGCAAGTTGGAGGAAGAAGAAGCAAATCAAAGGGCAGCAGCAGAAAAGAGGAGGCTGACATGGGAGCGCTTAGAGAATGTTGCCAGCATCCAACCTATGACAGGGAACACAGCAGTTCTGGTCACACCTGCAACGGCCGCTATTGCCTGCTAAATTTTAGTTTAGCGGTGTTTTTCATTTGATCTTAGTTATTTCCTCACTTGCTTTTGTTTTTGGGGCATCCAGATGAAATGTGTTGGTACAGAGCCTTGTTGACAGGATTGAGGGCTCAGTCCTTGAATGAGTGCTGCCTGGGGGCATTGTGATGACCCAGAGAAACAATGGAAGGCAGCCCAGGGAAAGAGTCTCTGGTTCTGTCAATTGAATGGCGCCCAATCATCTTATATTCTTATTAACAGCTATTCTCACCCTTCATTGTTTATGGATGGGTTGTTGTAAGTTGCAACTCTCTGCTTCAAAATGGTCTTTCCTTTTCAGGTGGTAAATGAAAGAGTTAGGATCTTTTAATTGCTATCGATCTCCCATTAAAAAAAGAAGCATCTTTTATGGCAGCATACATGTGAACGGCACGAGCATCAAATTCATAAATAACGATAAGTAGTAAGCATTATTTGAGAGATTCAGAATGTCTTCTGGGTTTCTCTCTGGTTATTATTATAAAGCATGTGATGTGCGAGTACTGAAGAGTTCCAGCTCGATGCCAGATCATATGGCTTTTCAATTTGATTTCTCTTGGTTTTAGTTCTGAATTCTGATCATGATACGGCATATTAGCTTGGAATCCGAATTTGATACTCACAGACCACGCCTCACACCAACCTCGTAGCGTTTTCACTTTTCAGCCTTGCATTGAGAAAGTCTCCATACTAATATTGTCATTCATGAAATGATATTACATTGTGAGGTTGGTATGAGGTGCATTCTCTGGACTACGTATCTCCTGCCCACGAGTACTCTACCCACGCCACTCAGAACATTTTATCTCCGTGCATTGGGAACATTTCTTCGTGCATGATAAAATGTAAGAGGATGAGATGTTCCCCATGTGTAGCTATAATGTTATGTGGGTAGGTGTGGGTATTATTGTCGTGGTAGGAAATCTGGACTGTAATGTTATCTAGGTAGGTGTAGGTAGAGTTGTGGGTAGGGAATCCAGACTCCATTCTGTGAGAAGTAAATCCAATTTCATCCAGCTTGATACGAGGAATCCATTTACAAAATTGGTCTTCACACTGTCCAAGAACATCTCCATGCTTCATTTTTTATTCTTTTCTTTTTTCAAAACATTACAAGGTATGATTGCTGGCGTGGCTCCAACATGGTGGAACCAAACATTTCCACACATTGATGTTACTATAATGAACATATTTGTGTATTTAATCCATCTTTAATTATTGTAATGATTGAATGTGTAAATTCAATTATTACTTTCCACATCATTTAATCCTTTTTCATTAAATTTTTATTATTAAGATATTAAATCTCATTTTCTCTTATTAAATCTTATATTTTAAGTAATTTTCACTAATAAATGTTATTAATTAGATCTATGTCAATATTTTTAATAATATTATAAGTTAAAAGTCGGAAATGATGAATCACATACCATACCATATTTCCTACTTCTGTTTTCTCTTTTAAATTTATTCTTTCTGTGTGCGTGTGTGTTTTTTTTTAAATATATATATAGATGGATTATTGCATCCGGGAATCTTAGCTACTAGATTTGACTTCGACCCCAAAAAGAAATGCATCGCGTATGAACATTAATCAGATAAACAAATGAAGTCAAATGAAAACTAAACCAGAAAGGAATCCAAATTGAAGTTTTAGATAATAAAAATGCAAGTACTTAAACCATTTGTTTTTTTTTTTTTTTCAAATTAGGAACCTTGAAATCCAAGCAAAGCCTTTGTTTCTCCCTATAAAATGCTACATTTCACCATTTATAAAACAATGGCTGCTGTTAACAATATTGGTTTGTATTCTTCTCTCTTTACGTTACCTTTATTTGTTATTTGTATCTGATGAGGGCGGATTTGGCCCTCCAATGATATTGTGACATGTGGTACCTCGGAACAATTAGATGACACCTAGAACCACTTAGACAACAACTTGTCTTAGCCAAGTTGATGGTGTCCCACCTGGCGGCTGGGCCCAGGCGCCGAACTGGTGGCCTGGCCCAGACGCGACTTGGCGGCCTGGCCCAGACGCGACTTGGCAGCCTGGCATAGGCGCTAATCTGGCGGCCTGACACAGGCACTGACTAGCGGCCTGGCCCAGGCGCCGACCTAGCAACCTGCGAGACGTGCTCGCCGACAAATTTGGCCTGCATATCCTAACACTCCCACGATCCTTGGAAGTTGGCCCACGTGTCGAACGATCCGGATGGTGGTCAACATGCATAGTGGTTGCCTCAAGAAATCTCGAACCACTTAGACGACTTCTCGAAAATCTCGGATGCGGTGTGTGAAGCCCATGCCAAACAATGCCTATATAAAGGCACCAACCCCAATGGCATAGGGGGGGCAAATAAGCATATTCTAGCTCTCATACTTTGTGATTTTTAGCTCGCAGTCTACTATGAGAGTACTGACCTAAGCATCGGAGCGACATCGCCGGGTTAGCCACCCCGGGTCCTCTGACATTGATTCCTTGCAGGTCTCTAAAGAACTACGAAGCCCAACAATAAATCCAGCTCGCCACCAGGCAGCTCGACACCCTAGTTAACTCGGCACCTAATCTGCCCCCAACTCGGCCTGGTCAGCTTGGCTTCTAGGTCCTCATCCAACAGAAGTTAACTTCGGCCTCTGAGTCATCGGCCACTTGGAAGCAGACCAAATGACGAGGTACTTAGCACAAAAAATTGATACATCACTAAAAATTGATTCATCAGTATCCGTTCTGTCAAATTGAAGGGCTAATAGATTTCTTCCTTCCTAACCAACTTAGCAGTCTCTGATGAGTCTTTTGTGTGTCTGTGCGTTGCAGCGTGACTAAGGTGGGGGATGCCCACCTCTTATTGCTTGTTTGGCTTTCCCAATGTGGCAGCAGCGCAGGAGAACTGACTAAGACAGCGTGACTAGAATTAAGTATTAATCAATTTGGAAATAGTATAGATAAATCCATATTAACCAATAAAAAATTAAATTTAAAAAAAAATAAATATAAAAATGATTAAAAAATAATAAAAATATTTTTTTGATAAATTTTTAAATTGGGTAAATCTCTTTAATTATCCTTATTGTTCATGAAATTGACAAATTGTACCTTTACTGTTTAGATATTGTCTTGCGCTACCCTTAAGTTTTATGACAATTGTCACGCCGCTAAACACTAACAGAAAAAAATAAAATATCGAATTTGCCCTTCATTATTCATCAAAATTTCAAAATAAAACCCAACTAACTATGTAGACCAGTTCATTACTCTCCATGGGAGAGGATGCTAGTGTTTCCATCGTCACTATAATTGCCACCGATGACAGTGCTGCCTTTTCTAATCACTATAATTGCCATCTTTGGATTTGTGATCGAATTCTCTTGTGAGCTGAAAGATTCTCGTCGCGCAGGTTGAAGGCATCTGGATCCTACGCCCCCGACCTTCAACTTTGGTATGTCGGTCCTTCGTAGAAGCTTTTTCCTAGGTAGGGGTGTAAACGGATCGAATTCGAATCGAATCAGGCAATATCTGAATTCAAATCCGATTAGAAAATACGATATTCGAATTCGATTAAATATTCGAATATTCGATTTGATTAATTAATTAATTTAGATAATTAATAAATATATAAAATAAATATTTTATTGATATAAAGTATATAAATATTAACTTATTTATTTTATATATTATATATAAGAATTAAATAATCGATCGAATTCAGATATTTATCGAATCGAATTAGGTCATATCCGAATTCGATTCGATTATGTCGAATATCAAATTCGAAATCGGATTTTAGAATACCATTTACACCCCTACTCCCAGGAACCATAGGGAAGAGAGAGAAGTCAGAGAAGGAAGGGTGTGCCAAGTCGAGAGGAAGGGATAAGGATAGTGAACAATAAGGGTATTTTAGGAATTTTAAAATAATTAGCACTCACATGATGTCACATGTGAACAGAGTGTGACAGAAAATTAACACAAGGGAGGTGTTAGGCACAAGACAATATCTAAACAGTAAGGGTATAGTTTGTCAATTTCGTGAACAGTAGGGATAGTTTAAGAGATTTATCCTTTTAAATTTTATCATAAAAATTATTGAATTGTTTAAAATTACAATAAAAATAGTAAAACTTATACTAAAAAAAATAAAAGGAATATCATCAAATTATACAATGAACAAGGAGAAGAACCACAATTTCTTTTTCTATATCATTGAAAAAAAGAAAAAGAAATATTAGGGCATGCAATGTCTAATATCAAAAGCCTCTTTTTGTGAATGGTACCATCCACGAGATATAGGCGTTGCCCACAAGTGGTGTGCTCAAATCATTTTTGTTTCAAAATTCAAATTACTTTTTATAACATTTCACAGGGATTCATAACACAATAGCAGGGAGTAAATCAATGGACAATTGCAGAAAGATAAGAACGTTGAATAAATTGAGGATTTTTACCCAAAAAAAAAAAAAAAACAATATAGAATCGGCTAAAAGGATTATCATTCACTGCATCGGTCTAAAGCATATCTTAACAAGAGTTTTGACAGAATTCTGAGAAAGAGAAAAATATAGTTGAGCTAATTGCTACAAACTCACCTCGTGTCATCGAACCCAGTGGATTCCATTGCATATGAGACGAAAAATATGGTTCACCTTTATATTTTGATTTGGTCTGAAGCTAACAAAATCAAACCACTTCGACTACCAAATGTTGTTTCAGAAAAGTGATGGATAAAGTAAAATAAACAAGGGTATTATTGGGATTATAAATTCTGTATATCAACGAAGTGGGAGAGTGAAACTCTATTATACGTTACGTGATAATTAGATACACATCCTTCAAGCTCTGTAACTACACACAGAAAGACAATCAGAGAGAATGTATGCACCACGGGGTATCAATAGATGTCATATTTGAACCACGTCTGAAAACGCCATAAGGAGAATAGCTTAGAGCTTCCTCTACGCCTGGTTTGCTTCTCCACCATCTCTATCCCTTTTCCGATTCAATTCTGATGCTCTTGATTTCTTTGCAAATGATCACCATTTCTTTCTACAACACTTCCAGTTCCCTTTTTTATCAGAATCAGATGAAATTTCTCTGGTCCATGAACCAAACTCTAATTAGTAATCCCCAAGGAATTTGATTATTTGTTGAATGACAAGTCTTTTTATTTAGTTATCAAAAAAAGGTAGGAGTCTTTATTTGTATCGCTTTGTTTGTGATGGATTTTGATGTGTGTGTGTGTTTTGCTGATTTTGTTTTTTCTATCATGAGAATGATTTTGAAAACCAGACCGGACTCTGGTTGACCCAGGAACCGATCAGGCAATCAGTTCCATTTCTCCCTAAAACCTCTCCTAGGCCAAAAACCGCTGATTTGGTCAGTGACCCGCTGGCCCAGGCAGTTGAACCATAACCCAAACAACAGCTTTTGGGCGTTTTTATTTTAATTATTTTTTAATTTTTTATATTCAAAGTCAGAACGGGCCATTTGTTCAAACCGGACAGTCGGTCCCCAAAACAGTTCCATATCTGGTCCGGTTTTTAAACCCTTGCTTATAAGATTTGCAAGTGCTGCTTTACATTTCCTGTTGCTGCTGCCCTTAGTCTGATGCAGGCATCTTTTTTATGGCATCAGGATAATTGCCAAGAACAGAAAAACATAAAAGCTTGAAAGATTGCTGTGACTAAGGACCCCTTTCAAGTAGTAATCTAACTCACAAATTTATGGATTTTTGTTCTATATAGTACCAGTGGATGAAAAGTGTCTCTCACTCGCACACAAATACTCGGGAGATTTCCCAAACAAGCATCAACTACTCGTCAATCCATTAGGTATCAAATTATTTCCCTGAGTGACCTTCCTTCCTAGCTCCTATGCCCATGATCAATAAAGTCATACAGATCCTGGACCACCATGTGCAACTTCTGAATTGTAGCATGTAGACCTCTTGAAGCTCCTACCGTCTGATTACAAATGTTGGCAAATTGGGCTTATCAGAAAATGTACAAGCAGGTAATGGAGGTCAACAGTGTGGTTAGCAACACCGATACAAAGTTTACAGCATTGTTGTCAAGGATGCTCTGGCCCGATATCTTCTTCACGGTTGGCCCTGGCTTTTCAACCACCTTCAAAGACAATTAAGAATCTCTGTATCAGAACTGAAAGTTCTAAGGTTGTGTAAACGTGGTAACAATTTTAAACAAGAGAAAACACAACATCCTATCCCAAGTTCTAGGAAAAAGGGGGAGGGGGATCAAAGGTTGAAATAGACCATCATCCATCGACCCTATTCAATGAAGATCAGATGGTTGCCATTGATAAATTCAATATGGTACCACTTACTACAAGTGAGCAGTTATCAGCATCATTCTTCGCAGTCTCTAATTATAGATATATTATTCTCCTACATGCAAAGGCTTGCATTGATGTGGTCTATTAAATTAACTGAATATAAAGCCAATTACATAATAGAAGATACTTCTCCTATGATATTTAATTTTTTAGTTCCCCAGAAATTCAAGCCCTTGTTATTCCTGTTTACTGGAAAACCAGAGAAAGTGTCAGACAATGTGAAAAGTTGTGGCTAATGACCTTGGACAATCAACTGTTAGGGATTTGGAAATAATGCACTGTCTAATTAATAGCTCAAATTGATGTATGTTAATTGTTTATTACCTTATTTCGTACAGTGCAAAATCCACTGAATTGCACTGTCGCCCCCAACAGAGAATCTATTATACTTCCAAGTAGCCCTGCAATTGCAGCGATTGGTATTACCAGAAGCTGCTTCAAAGCTACATCAGAAGCACATTTTGCTGTGAAAAGTCCAAAGAGAACAAATGTCAGCCCAATAACACTGCCTGCTGCTGCAGCTGCTAGGAGTCCTGTTGTTGTCACAGCACCATTTGTGCCCTTCCGTACTGGCTGATACACATAATTAGATTCCAGAAAAGAGCATCACATTAGTGAATAAGTTTCCTTTAGCCTAAATAAATGTTCTAAGAAATATGTAGAAATAGGCAATTCCAAGCTGCTAACAGTAGCAGAGCCATTACCAACAACAGTCATGTTTAGATCATGGGAGAGAAATGAATCAGAGGGTCATTTATGCTTAGAATACAACCAATTTAATCTAATATTCTAATTTCATAATGGAATAAAATTCAAGGGCTAGCATATGTTTGAAGTTTAAATGAAGGAATCCCACCTGCAAGTGGATTTTAAAATTTCCAACAAAGTTGTTTGGTTTGAAGGAAAAGGTAAGGATAAAATTTCCAACAAGTTGTTTGGTTTGAAGGAAAAGGTAAGGAAACATATAAAAGGTTTGTAAAGGTTTCCCTACCTTTCCCTTCCTTTCCATACTTTTTCCTTCAAACCAAACACAGGTTCAAGGATACACAGGTTATAGCACTAAAAAAGATATACTCCATTACAACAATTGATTTCTAGTTAGATGACTTAACTATAACACCAGGCACGGTTTCAGGTCCAAGTATTACACACACAAAAAAGAGGGAAGAAAAATAGAGAAAAGTTCAGTTGATACTTGATAGACCTTGTTCTATGAAGGCTAGGATGTAAAATTTTCCTCCAGTTGATTGAGATAGTGATACTGAACCTCAGAGAACACAAAAACAATATTATATGCTATCCTTGCTTGAAATCCTACACAAACTTTCTCCCTGATGGAAGCCAGCCACAATGACCTAAGAGGCTAAGATGAAGGATCAAGGATTTCTAAATAAACTAGGAACTAATTATAAAAAACCTGGAAAAGGGTCAATGCCACACCTACAGTAAATGAAATGGGAGTGGGGGATTAGCTATATCTAACCTTAGATTTGGTTGGCAGTATGAGAGAGCAATAGAAGTGCATTAGTGAGTACATCTAAGTCAAATATCAGGCTTAGGAGGGCTTTGATAACGGATGAAATGGCTGACCTAAATGACATTGCTTTGTCTTTTATTTGATAAAATAATTATATAATAAAACATTCAGAGGCAATGTAATCAACCGAACTTCAGCTTCAACGTTCAACCATTAAAGACCTCAAAACCTCCTTACAACTTATTCACTAAAAGACAAGACAATGAGTCATCCAGTTCAGCCCCTTGGTGTAATTTTTTTATTACAAAACAAGTTGCTATTGTGTTTCTCCACTCTCATCAATGCCAGCAATGTTTGATCAAACATATTACATAGCTGTATTATCACTTTTGCTCTTCTAGAAACAGTAAAGGGAAGCCTTAGTATTGAGAATGAGATAAAGTTGCAGTTTTCTAACAACCTAGAGCACAGCACCTCTTGGCTCTTGCTAGCAATTTTCTCTGTTTTTTTTTTCCTTCTTTTGGTAATGAACCTCTTAGTAACAATTAAGTTGATGAGATGCCATGCAAATGTTTCCATGAATTCAGTATGAAAAAAATACCAAAGCAACGAAATGATATTTACCTTAAAGGTTGTGATTAATCGTGGCTGTGCATTACTAAGCACCCCTATCTCTGATGACCAAGTATCTCCGTTGCAGCAGGCATAGTGTCCAATTATACCACCAATAAGACATGTTACTAATGCTGATCCTTTTGAGTCTAAGCATTTATCCTGCCACCCAATTGATTGCCCAACAAGCACGACTAGAACTGTAGCTATGCCACTATTAGCTAGCACCTGTACCCTTAAGGAAATTGAAAAGAGGCTTACAGCTTCTGCATTGCATAAACATGGATATACAGGAAATGGACATTTATCATCCAGCTAGCCTTTCAGTTTTACCCGTGCATTATATTTCTGGTTAATGGTTATGAAATGGCAACAGAAATTAAACCAGCATCGCCTAGAGAAAGTCAAAATTCTATTTCTTTCATAAAGAAGCCAAAAGCCTGTATGCAACTATACGATGCAAGGCATCATGAAATATCATGAAGATTTCTTAAAGAAATATATTCAGGGTATATTAGTTTTCATCATTCAGTTTTTCTCTCTGAAAGAAAAGAACTCATTTCTGGATCTTGGGTCTACAAATGAAATGAATCAGAGAGGGAATTAAACCTTGAGCCCCCCTCCTTAAAATCAAAGAAAAAAAAACAAATTAACCGTAGCTAACAAATATTCAAAGTCGTCCACAGTTCAAAAAGGATCAAGAAAGGAGAAATTTACTACCAATTCCTCTGGCCACCCTCTTTGAAGTCAGCATCAACGCTTCGCTTCTTCTCCTCCCCGACCTTGGTAAGCTTAGACGAAGAAAAGAAGAAAACAAGCAGAAGAGCGCCGAATCTTCAACCAATCCAACAATGAATAGAAGGTTCAGACACCAACATCATAAGATTAAACATTTACGAAAATAGATAGCTTCAATCACCAAAAATACAAAAGAAAAAAAAAGGAAAAGTAAAAAAAAACAAAAAAAAAGGAGACGAAATAGAACCAACCTCAATCCAACTGCAATATGGACAGACATGACCAGAAACCCCAGAAGCGCTCCCGACCGATCGAGAGACTTCCGCTTGAAAGCCCTCGAAGCGATTACAAAAGAGATCAAAATCGCGACTAATGGTTGAATCGCATACTTCTCCATCGCTATTCCTTGGGAATTTCCTTCAAACCCAATCGCAGGGTTTCAGTTCAGTCCTTCGAAGCAATCCCGATTATACCTAAGAATCAAACTAATTGGTTGAAAAACGTGAGCAGTCAGAAACTCAGAACCATTTTTCTTTGGACCATTAAGACGACATCTCATTCAATGCTACTCTCTTCTCTTGGCGGTGGCGGGTGGTCTCCAATTCTGAATTCTCCATGAGTCTATGGTCCAGAGTCTCCAGTCTCCACTGTACATACAGAGCAGAGATGATCAGATGTGATCGCACCTATATTAAAATCGTACTCCACTAATTACGAATTGGCTGAAAATAGAAAGGTCTAAGATTTTAACATCGTCCTATTTTACAGACAAAGGAAGATAGACACGTGAGGGTTCTTAGTTCTTACAATAAGAGCGCTTTCACCCTTTCATTCAAGACATCGTTTAATTGTCTGAACTCTGAAAGACTTTCATGCAAAAAATGGGGGAATATTAAGTTAGGCTTCAGTCTCAGCCCCATGGACAATGACTTTTTTTACCCATTAGATCAGTCTATGGGCTCAAAATTCAGATGCCCATACGGCCAGCCCAAGCCCATGCAAATTACTGGCAATGATCCACTAAAGGGAGACGGCCCATTATGGGCGGCGATCTTATTAGGTCCATGAGCCATTGTGTGTACGTTGAACTCATCCAGATAATCCGGATTTCTTTGTTTATCGACATTTTTTTTCTTTTGTAAATTGTATGGCATCTTTACTTTTAATTTTCAGAAATTAAACATTTTACATTTTACATTTTTCATATTATTATATAATCATATAACATATTTTTATTTTTATTTTTTCAATTTTAAGAAAGCTAAAAATTGAGATTTGAGTCCGAAACCAAATAAACATTACTTACTTCAGTCGGACTATCGGGCTGTAATTGGTTGCAATGCAAATAAATTTGTACTGATGCAAAATTATGGTAGTGCAAATGATTTGAGTGTAATTTCTAACTTATTTTTGTTTCAAATTTTAGCTTATTTTGTTTGATTGTAATAAGACATGAAGCAGAATAAAGTAAAACCCAAAATAAAATTAAACAAAAAATTGAACATTTTTTGTATTTATACTAGTGCAAATAAAATTGCACTACAACCAAACACAAGCTGATCAAGTGCAAAGTTACAAACTCCCAAAATTTTCTTCTAAATTGCATTTTATAACCTATAACCCGTTAACAAAATCAAATGGGTCAATGGTTGAATCACCCAAATCAGCAGGTCGGGCCAAGTCAATGGTTCTCAAAGGATCGACAAGTTTTAAGATAACCTGGACCCAAAACTTAACCAAGTTGAGGATTAAACAATCCAACCGACCAGGTGGTTGAAAACATTTGGAAAGCAATTTAATAATTCTTTCTCTCTCTGTCTTTTATAGTGACGATCAAGACTAATTAATAGGTTAATACTTTGTTTAACCAGTTTAATACTACGTTAAGAAACGACTTTAAAAAAAAAAAAAAAAATTACCACGTTAAGAAAGAAGTGTAGAGTGACGTTCACGGTCAAGTCTTGTTATCTTTTTTTCTTTTTCATCTTCGAGTTTTGTTTTACGGATCGAATCTGTTTATTGAAAATCATAACTGGAGAGCATTAATAATTCAACAAAACTCAACAAATTAAGAAAGACGAAGAGATTAAAAAAGAAAAACTGAAATTTATCTTTTTAATTGGAATCGTTGTTGTAGCCATTATTCCCATTCTTTTCTGGGTTCTACGTGAAAAACTGAATATCATTGTTGAAAATATTTTAAGCAAGACAATGTTGAAACTGGTATCGGCATCGTGCTTCCTACCGAAGGATGACATCAAGAAGCCTAAAGGAGAAGATGCGCACTTCATCTGTGCACAGAGGAGATCATCAGTGTGTTTGGAGCAAGGGCATTGATGCAAGAGAATATGCACGACAGCCTATGTCAAACTCTATGATTGCAATTCAGAATGAACGGAGAGATTGAATTGATCCGGGAAGAGTTTTAAGGGAAACTTTGTTGAACACCAAAGTTGCAGGATCATCAACCTCTTGTATTGTTGCAGTTAGAGACAAGATATGGTTTCTTTCTACCCAAGAAAAATAGAAAACCATTTTGGCCTCAAGTATTTAATGGCAGTAAATTGATCAATCGGGTAATTGACCACAATCCCGTATTCATCTGCTGTTATATTGTGTTTCATGGTGATTAATAAAGATAAGAGAGTGTATACCCAGGTAACTAATACACTCCATAAGGGTGGATTAGCAATTTACTCGCACAACAATAATGTTTTCTTCCTCCCATATTTCTCTTTACCGAGTAACTTATATCACACAAGGATGTTGGAACTAAATTTATCCAAACAAACTCTTCACTTACCCAAATAAATGAAAACGAATGGGGCCTTATTGTACAAATTAGGGCATTTTACAAGATTCTAAACTAGTCATTCTTTTTGGTTGCAATACTTGCATGCAGCAAATGTGGGTGACAGTGGTTTCATAATTCTTAGAAGGGCGAGTTACATATAGATTTCCCGGAAGTCAACAGCAATTCAGCCGTTCTGTTAGGGAATTGAGATAAGATTTGATGTATGGGCTATTATGATATGGGTTATTAGGAGTTCTCAGTAAGATAGAGTTTGTTATCTTAGGGTAGAGTTTGAAATGGATTAAAATAGATTACATAGAGTCCTAAATAGAGTCTAAGAGTTTGAGTTTGAATAGGTTAGATCTCTGTTTTAATCTATAAATATGATGTAATTATAACACTCATAAATGCATTATTTTCTAGCCTTCCTTGAATTCTATCATGGTATCAGAGCCAAAGGTCTGAACCTAGACGTCTTCCATCGTACTTCCTGTGTTTCCGGCGGGTGGCTAGGACGGCTATCTTCGTTTAGTATTAAATTTTCCCATCTAGTCATCCATTTAGAAATTTAAAATTTTCTTTTGCCACTAAGTGTTTTATTACAAGTTTTCCCATCTTGCCTGTACCTAGGGGTGTAAACGGATCGAATTCGAATCGGATCAGGAAATATCCGGATTTGAATCCAATTAGTAAATCTGATATCTGAATTCAAATTCAACTAATTTATTATTTTATATAATTAATAAATATATAAAATAAATATTTTATTGATATTAAGTATATAAATATATAAATTATTTATATAACTTAATTATTATATATATAAATTATAAAATGTTTTATATATTATATATGAAATAAATAATCGGTCGAATTCGGATATTTATCGAATCAAATTAGGTCATATCCGAATTCGAATCTGATTAACTATTCGGTATGAATAGGATATCCGAATTTGACCGATTAGATATTCGAATTATCCGAATTCGATTCGATTATTTTGAATATCAAAATCGAAATCGGATTTTTGAATACCGTCGACACCCCTACCTGCACCAATCACCAGCATCTAGGCAATTGAAGACAAGGAGTCAGAAAGCTTCATGAAGGCAAGCTCCACAGCAATAGAACTGACAGAAACTGCTCCAGATGCTATGTTAGTCTCAGTTAGCATGCCTATCAATAGTGATTGCATGCTTGAACAGATAGTTGGTGTTCCTCCCAAAACCAACAACACCTTGGCCAACCTTCACAACGTGTCTATCCTGAGCAAGGATTTGTCCTCCTAGAACAAGAGAGAATCGATTGAGGACTGTTCATCTTTGACTTGTTGAACTATTATTGGCTTTTACTCTCGGAAAACGCAGGATCATCATTTATTGAACGTGTTTCATATAAAGATCATTTCATTTTCGAGTTCTGTCGAAGTTCTTGGTCACTTAATGGAGATCGATCTCCTGCTTTTATCAGTTCTTACAGTTTCTTGTCGAACCGCCTTGTTTTTAGTTGAATATCTCAATATCCATTGTCAATATGATGTGCTCTATGAGGCAATCGGCAACCATTCTCACCATTTCCAATCTCTCAAGATCAAGGCCAAATGCATATGCTCCGCAGTCGCGACTCTCGTTGCTTCCCCCCATTTCCTTTGCAAAAGGACCTAATTTCGATCTCTCAGCCTGTAAACCCCTATATATTTCCTCCCTTCAAGGTTTTGGTTCTTCCAAAGGTGCTAGACCTCGCAAGTCGGTTATTGAGTGCAAAGCACATAGAGCCAATCGGCCACAACCAATTGACGCCAACGTCGAAGATGCTGATTTAGGAGGGTGTGATATACCTGTTGGTGCTCCTAGTATTGAAGTGTGTTCTTGATAAAAAAAAATGACCTGGGATCAGTCCCATCAGATCAAGCTTAGTTTGGCCCATAGTGGCCCTTCTTTGATTTAGCCTTTAAAGGCATTTTGCTGACCTATGAAGGTCTGTATTGGCTATTTTTGGCCCTTTTCAGATTGGCCCGTTGTGGCCCATTTTGTATTGGCTCAAGAACCCAGCCAATTGTGGCATACTAAAAGTGGGGTCTTTTAATGGCCTATTCTCAGTCTGGCCCATGGTTGGCCCATTGACAATTTTCACCATCAACCCATGGAGGTTCTCTCTTGAGGAAGCAATATCATGCTATCAGCACGACCATGTCATCGTTAGTTTGCCATATTATCATCACAACAGATTTGGAGATTTGGATACATCATCACAGGTTCTCATCATGTTGGTCATCATTTTCCATCATCATCATCATTCTCGTAGGCTTGTTATCATCTTCAAAACAAGACACCATCAAGATCGTCATTTCATCATCTACATGTCACATCCTCGAAGCTATTATCATATTGCAGTCTTTTGTGATCAAACACATCATGTGTTTGAGGGGGCGTGTTAAGGAATTGAGATAAGATTTGATGTATGGGCTATTATGATAAAAGTGATTAGGAGTTCTAAGTAAGATAGAGTTTGTTATGTTATGATAGAATTTGAGATGGATTAAGATAGACTACATAGAGTACTAGATAGAGTCTAAGAGTTTGATTTTGAATAGGTTTGATCTCTGTTTTAGTCTATAAATATAATGTAATTATAACACTCATAAATGCATTATTTTCTATCCTTCCTTGAATTCTATCATGCCCTTATCAACTTGGAAACAATCCAAAATGTGCTTGACCTATTTCAGCTCTAGTTTGTTGATTAGAACAGTTAATTTGCAATTGTAATTAGTTCCTCACATACCAATTTTCATTTTTCTATTGTTCAATTTACCAAAGTAGCAGTATATTCCTCCTTATAAGTAAGAAGTTTATTTTGCATGCATATTTGTTGCTTTCCATGTTAAATGTTCCATGGCTGTAAGTAGGTTTAGAGGAATGGAGATATGGGGTTAGTTGTCCGTGGTACTTCTATGTAAGGGTATTCATCAAAACCCAAACAATTGAAAAATCAAACCAAACCAATGAAACTGAACCAAAATTTTTGATTAACCAAACTAAAGAACCAAGTCGACCAGATAACCAATTGTTGGTCTATGTTGCTTATATATAGATATAGATAAAGATATGCATTGCTTCATGAGAAAACTCCTATCAAATGGTTGTTAGACTTGGCTTACATATTGGTCTATGTGTCCATGTTAGTTTTTATGCTGGCATTTGGGTTCTCTATTCGGCCTGTATATTAAAGATGGTGAATCACAAATGTTAGTAATTCTCATTTGAACAAAGTAAATTATGCCTATTGGAACACAAGTCATAGGCAAATCTATGAATATGTTAGTGTGGACAATTGTCCCCACTAAAATTTAAAAAAAAAATTATATGGTAATAAAAAATTTTAAGTTTCTCATAATTGCCCCCACTTGTATTTTAAAATTTTTTATATGGTAACAAAAATTTTTAAATTTTTTTATAATTGTCCCAATCAAATAAAATAGTTGGGAGTTCATTTATTTATTTGTTTTTGGTAATGAGTAAGGTGTCAAATAATGACCATGTCACAATGATCAAAGATTTATAGTTAAAATGTTTTGATATGAATTTTTTACTTTAATTACTTGATTGCTATGTTGATGTTATGATAATGCTTGTCCCCATTGATCAAAGGTCCTAGATCCACAACTAACACAAGTAGTTTCAGCTTGAGACGTATCGGGGCCTCTTGATACGTTTCTACAGTGGATGTTTCGGGGTCTGACCTGTTTCAGGGGTAGAAGGGCCTTAAACCATCCATCCGAATCAATTAAAAAAAAAACTTAAAAAAGCAAGCCAAGATACAAGCTGATATACCGCATCAAAATTTTTGAACCTTAACTCGTGAGAAGAGGGTTGAAAAAACCTTCACATTGGTCTTAAAGTCTTACATAGTCTAATGTTGAATGATTGCATGAATGCCTAAAACTTTGCAACATAATCCTATGAAAACAGGTATTGGAGGTTCCCATTAGCCGGGAGTGATGGACTGTTCCACAACTTGTTTGAGGAGATTATAGATATAATAGCCAATGGGAAGAGTGGGCCGCCAACATATGATAGTAGGGCATGCATTATATAATTCATTTGACAAGTTTCATAGAACTCCCTTCTAAGTAGCCTCAACCATGGCTGGACACAAGCATTATGGAGGCAAGATTGACGACATCACCATCATCATGCCATGTGTTGTCCCCGGGCAGATTGAAGACTAGAGGTACTAAGTTCTTAATTGTAAAGATGAGATTCATTAGTTCTGGGTAAGACTGAATTTGCTATTAGACATTCTTAGTTTGGTCAAGACTCAAGACTTTAAGAAAAGAAAAACAACCAACAGTCACCATATGTGGAAGAGTGGTGACTGAAGAAAGGAGAAAATATGGGAAGAGGAGGCATAAGCGGATTATTAAATTTGAATCTACCCATATTGCTGCCCAACGTTACATGGCCATGTTTTTTTTTCCACTAGCTAATGATCGTTCCCTTCTTTCATTTGGCTCCATCTTGGAAGGAATCGACCATTGGCCAAAGGAAAGCACCCAATGAAGCTTTGCAGTGTTTTCTTTTCCATTGACCTGCGGTGAATAGAAGGAGGAATTTTCTCCCTATTTTTTAAATAAGGTCTTAAGGTATTCACCAGACGATTCAGTTTGGTTCTAGATTATTTGGTTAACCAAATCAACCTGATCAGATTGGGAAGTTAACCACCCAAAATCGACCAACTAAGGATGAAAAGTTGAAAATTGGCCAACTTAGGTTGTATCGATTTAAGTCGGTTTTTGGTTTGATCCATCAGTTCAAAAAATTTAAATTTAGAAGTTAAATTATTTAAAGAATTGTAATGATATTAAGTAAATTTAAAAAAATTAAAATTAAAATGTAAAATATTTTAAACTAAAAAATATAAATTTTTTCTCACTTTCTCATATTAATAATATAAATTTAATATATATATTAAATTTTGGTTGGTTTACAAATGATCAAACCAAAACTAACCAACTCATATCAGATTGGGTCAGGTTGGTTGGTTTCATTGGTTTGACAAATAACCCTATAGGGTCCGGTAGAATAAGTTTTAATTTATCTAATCAATCGGTATCATAAAAATCCGGGCATCATGGAAACTACTATGTTTTAAAATTGAAATGAACAGTTGAACCAAAAGCAAGGTTTAAAGTATCAGAAACACAAAGTATATCGAAAAGACAATTTTAAGAGGCGTGTCAAGATACGCTTTGGATATGTATAGATGCGGCCGACAAACCAAGATACACATGGATACGCTATAAAACTCAAATAAATCATAAAATATATATTAATAGCAATATGAATAAGATATATATAACCATAAATAAGTTATTTAAACATAAAAAAAGAAACTTATTTTAATGGTTAACATGAATTGTGTAAGAAATCGGAACACAATCGGTAACTGTTGAAAAATGATAGAAAAACCAAAATGTGTACATATATATCTTATCTTGATTTTCAGAAAGTCAAAATGTCATAATATTTGTTAATATATTTACATTTTAATAATCAATTTTAGCGTGGGTGATCATCTGGACCCAGCCCAATACAGATATACCAAGTTTGGGCTTGGGTTTTGTATTTAGGCTTAGCCCAATTCATATATATATATATATATATGACACTTATAACATATATATTATATAATGTATCAAAAAAAATATATTCATATTATATGTTATTTAATATAAAATATTATATATTTTATATTTTATATATATAAGGCTTAGGCTTGACCCGACCCATAATCACCCCAATAAACATCTATTAAAAACAAAGAATTTGTTCAAGGATAAAAATGGATAAAAGTTCACCAACAAGATGGGTTTGGGCGTAATGGTGGACTCATGGCTTTTATAAAGGTATGACCAAGGTTAAAATCTTTTTAGGACATACTTAAACTTTTACACCCAAAATTATATGCATTAGCCATTAGGGGATTAACAATAAAAGAAATATTAACGAGAGAATGAGAGAAATTAATTGAAAGGATTAGCAATAAAAGAAAGATTAATGAGAGGAAATAATTAAAGTAATAAAATGAGAGAGAATAATTAATTAAAATAATTATTTTGTAATGTATATACGTTAGAGTATTGGCCCGATACAAACGAAAAAGAATAGAAGAAGTGGTTTCTATATTATATCGGGTATTTAATGAAACGATACGTATCGGCCAATACGTTGCAAAAGTAAGCCATTAGATTAAACCCACTCAAACTCTGGTTGAACCAGGAAATCAATGACGTGGCCTCCCAAAGAATACAAAAAGAAAGGACAAAAGTTATTTAATTGTCATAAAATTTGATAGTTGCTATGTTTTATTTATTTTTTCCTTCTCAGACATTCCAATTCAATGATTGACACGTTTTCACTGCATTTCAGTTCAATATGGCAACCAACTGATAGGGAAATCTGCTCTTGGTTAGAATTGGTCCAATTGCTTTAACAATGAAGACGTAGCCAAAAAATACATAAATGTTTCATGTAACTGACAACCACTCCCTGCATGACAAAATGCAAATATAGTCCATTACTCATCATTCAATCGGAATTCAGTTCCTTTGCCTCCATCTTGGATGTTGAATCAACTGGGTTTTAAAATCAAGCATCCTGCAAACGACCAAACAAGTATTACTGAAAGAACCTTTTACCAATGGGTACAGTCGACTCTGAAATGATGCAAAAAAAAATCAAGTTTCATCCTATAGACGAGTAAAAAATTACAGAGCAAAAATATCTGCCATGAAAACGACTAAAAATATTTTCCTCTTGGGCAGCTTCATGTTTATATAGAGCAAAGATAAATAATTCAAAAATGAAGCCGACCCTGAATTCCTGATATTGCTTACCAACTCTTAAGGATGACGAATTTGATTAGGAAAACATACAAGTGCTCAGCATCTTCAATTTCCATTGAAACCACTTTTCTGCTTACTTTGAAGGGAGCAGATAAACTCATATTTGCTCACATAATTACCCTGACTTTTCTTCTCTACTTTGTGATTACATGCATTAAAGTTTACAGAATTCATTTGACACTTGATTCACTAATTGTATGAAAAAGGAAGAGTGGCTCCTATTTCTGGGTATTGAATGTATAAATATAAACTGCAGCATACTTTCATAAATCAAATACTCTTTGGAATTACTTTCACATGCCTGTTATCCCTGCAATAGTCCTAAACCTGTACAGAGGAAAACTACTTTATTCTCTCCTCCCTAGGTTGAGGATGCATGTTCAAACTTCAAAGTAGTTCTCAGTAAATATAGACTGGGGATAGCTGTCCATGAAAAGTTTCCTGGAAACATTAATGTCATATTATCAGCTGCTGGTATTACATTAGCATAGCACTCCGTTAACGGCATTGTCATCTTTCTAAAGTTTCTGTTGGTGTTGGATAAGGGGTAGGAGTTGTAGATTTTCTTGTACTTTTTCACAAAATTACTTCAGAATTTTTCATTGTGCTTTGATTCCAGCACAAGATTTAACACTTAACACTAATGCATATATTCTCGTAGTTCTTTATTGGATACTTTCAAAGATTTAATTTGGACCAGACAAGCAATACTCTAACTAATTAAAAATAATGATTGCAGCAAAGAAAATGGAGTTAATTGATGTAATCATGATGCAAAACACAAAACTCAATCAGATTTTAAGAAAGTTAATCAAGTAGAGTTCATAAATTTTGTTAGTAAAACTCTAATTGGATACTTAACATCATCCCTCACTTTTAACATCATATAATGCTCATTAAGCTCCACCATCATACACTGACAAAGTACACACATACCTTCACTTGAGAGAATATCAAATTACAAGAAAAGGAGATGGAAAACTCTCTTATGGCCTGTAATGCACTTGGAATTTAGGAACCATGAATCTGCCAACTAATAGGAAGTAAAAAGAAGTTAGGCCTAAGAATTTTCATTAGATAATGCAACCATAAGTTCATTTATGAAAAGAAAACAGGAAAACAAAAAGGAAACTAGGATACTTGCCATGAGAAGACATAAGTCCAAATGAAGGACACAAAGAAAAGAATAACAGGTCAACTTTATCTCCTCCCCCTCCCCCTCCCCCTTCCTCTTCCCCTTCCTCTTCCTCTAGATCCCATTTGATATTGATTTCGACCTTCTCCTCTATCATAATTAAACATACTCATCCGAATCTTCTCTGCCTCTGCTCCAGGATCCCCTTTTACCTGAAAAGGTTGAAACCAGTAATATCAGAACTTCAAATATATACGAAATGGATATAAACTCACAAGTTAGTAAAACTAGTAGTAACAACTATAGTAACAATAGGAGGAAGAACATATACTGATTGGGTTTCTTTTCTAGATGACCCCATTAATTCATGCCACATGGAGAAACCATGTTGCTGATCCAAATACTCCTTTGGATAAGGGACCCTCTGGATTAGCCAATGGCCATTCATTCAAACCCCATGTCCCCTTAAGCCAAAAATCACCAACCTTGTATTTGAGCTTTTCCCAAAGTATTAATTGTTGAAAGTTCATATATCTCAAATTTAGAAATTGCCCGTATGGATAGATTACTTGGATTGCAAAGCTTAGGTGCTGAAAATTATCTTACAAATACATGCTGGAGAAGAGTACATGTGGAGCCCATGTGGGCCCCTAATCATATTGATATATGAAAGATTCATGGATCACTTCGATTTCTTTTGTAAGCTAGACAACTAGCATACCTATTCCCATATAACAGTGATGGTAACAATGATGATTATAAATAATAATGATAATAAGAACAAGGACAACAGTAAAAAAAATTACTGACATGACAATCTTCCAAATCCAACTGATCCTGAAGCTGCCAAGCAAGCTCCTCGTCATGGCTAATATCTTGAACATTATTTCGTATTACAGGATTACCCCTTTTCATCCTCTCCCATTCATCAAGAGTAAAAACTGATGATTCTTCCTGTTTCCCTTTCTCTCTATGTTTTCGACCTCCAGATCGTCGATCATCACGGGCTGGCTCACTTATTTTCTGTAGGAGTTTTTGTGCAGCGGCTTGATTTTGAACAGGAACAGCTTCAGCCACTGCAAAGATACATATGTTTGCATCAGTAAAAATCGAAAGTTGACAGGTTTCTCAAAGATGATGCTGATCGGATGATACCTTCTTTGGTCCTGGATTCAGAAGTACTTGGCTTCTCTGCAGATTTCCCAGTTATGGAAGGGGCTTTCAGGCTGCCATCCAACCCATCTTCTTTGGCATTAAAGACCTGATTCTTTACCACTTGCTTTGAATAAGAAAATCCACCTAATTTCACAACACTAGTGCCAGACGCTTTCGAGGTTGACTCAGGAGGATCTACAAATCATTTATACTTTGGCTGTGAGTTGCATTAGGGTCCAGTAGTTGTTTGCTATCACACAGTTACCAGTACTAATTGTAAGCACTTGAGAGGATATAAGAGGGAGATAAACAAGAGATAGAGATGTTAAACCAAAAAGGAATCTGCTTAGGTGAAGCTTGTTTTTCCCATTAACATGTGCAACAACTTGGCAATTCAAAGATTTCCTTAAATATTCAATGCATATAACATCATGTCTTAACAGGCTAAAATGCCTAGGTATCACCCAAGGGGCCATTACTTGGTGTAATGGTAAAATCTCAGGCTATCAAGTGTGAAAACGTAGATTCAAGTCTGAGAGAAGCCACTTTGTGCAAAAATGCCAAGGGTTAGGATCGTATCCAGTCTACCCCTCCCAAGACCCTAAATAGCTGGGGCCAACATTAGGTAATGGCCTTTTGGCCTAGGTATCACCTAGATGATTTAATGGTGATAGACTGGTTGATGTAACACATTGATCCTAAATTGAACATAAAGATGAACATTCAGTGACCAAGATCAATTCCTAATTCTGAAGTAATGATAATTATTATCCTACCAGCAAGCCCAGAGTCACTACTAACACAGTAGTTGGAAAATCCAGCAGTCATTCAATTACAGGAGATCACAAGCAAGCCTAAAGATCAGACTAGTCAAGCATCATATCTTTATCCTGTTTGCTTTGCATTAGTAGCCCCAAGACTGGATTAAAATTTGTCAGGTCCACAGCTGGCAGAGCCTATGAGTCATGAATCAATGTTTTACAGACAAAGGACTCCCTTGAAGAGACAACATGCATCACCCAGTTGCATTGAAGAAAAGGAAGAGTTGGATAAGGGATCTACTAAAAGCAATGCACTTAATATTGTATCTGCTCAAATCTGCAAATTATCCATAATTCCATATTAACTTCATGGAATCTTCTAGAGCATTTCCATCAACTCACGTTCATTTCATCCCCCTACCCGCATCCTTCTTATACAATCCAACCTTGTTTACTGAGAAAATATTTACACCCACTAGAACCCTTTTTTCTGCTTCATCTCTCTAGTTGACTGTCATGGATTGTGGAATCAGCACAGAAAACAATATCTACTACAATTCAACACGACTACTGGACGGTAGAGGAAGGAGCAATTTTACTGAATGCCTTCTCCAGTGGCAAAGAAATTGGTGCCAGTAAGGGCTACCCAACCATGAACAAAGATAAAGATGATTTTTGTTATCTACTAATAATCTATATTTGTACCACCCACATCTCTTCTCTCTTCCTACTCATAAATTCTCTAGTAGGTTCCGAGTTGCAGCATTGGTTAGCAAAAAGAGAATGTATGTGGGCAACTACAGCACACGTAAGAAGAAGCGATCTATAGCAAGTTGAAAGGGCAAGAAGGGCTAGGGGCAGACCAAAAAGGACATTGGTTGAAGTAGAAAGAAATGACATAAGTGCTCATAATTTAACAATAAATATGGCATTGAACAGAACAGAATGGCAAAACAGGATTCATGTAGCCAACCCCATATAATTGGGATAAGGATTAGATTATAATGTGGGGCCTTCCAATATTCCTAAGATCAGATTTTCTCCCTAAACCTCTCTTCCTCCTCCTCTGATGTTTAGTCCATTCACCTAGCAAAATAGTACCATCCAAATTTGATTTCAATAACATATTGATCTAAGAGTTGGAACTTTATTACTATGATTCAAACTTAATTTAATGAAGCATTCTTAACTTTGCCTCATTAAAACTCAAATAAAAAGCTTGCATCCATCACTCCAACTGTCAGTTCCCCTGAATGTGAAGAAGTTGTCAAGGTGACGCCTAAGCGGGCGCCTAGGCAACAAGGCGCCCTTGGAGGCTCACCTCGCCCAGTCGCCAAGCAGTTTTGTGGACTGTGGTATAAAATACTTTTATATTATTATTTTTTGACATTATAATATTAAACTAGAATATTCATTTTATGTGCTTATATACTAATTTCTTTTTATTATTTTCTTATTTGTTAGGGTTTAATCAACACAAACATTGCTAACTGCTGTATTGAACCCATTGTTTAAAGTGTCGATACACTTCTGTGTGTCGGCAGAGGTGTATTAGTACTTATAACGATACTCCCCCTATTTTTTTTTATTTGGTTTTCGGTTTCACGGGTCCTCGAAAACACCTGCAAACATGTGTATCAGGACCCCAAAGATACAATACAATACAGCCGATACGGGGTGTATCTTATCGAAATTTTGATCCTTGATTGAACCCTCAAAGATTTCAAAACCTAAACCAATAAGCAAGGGAAGAACTTAAAATTTTGTCTAATCAACACATTTTCTTCTTCCACATCTTCTTCCACCTTTTCTTTTCTTCTTTTCCTATAACAAAAGTAGGGGTTCAGCCCTATATTTTTTGAATTTTCTTTCCTTTGTTCTTTTTCTTCTCATAAAATGTTGATTTTCTAGACTTAAACATGAAATTTATACTTCTCTTATGAAAATTATGGATCATTATTAAGGAAAGATGGTTATGGAACCTACGGAACTACCCTAGGATATATGGTTTTACTTTAAAAAAAAAAATCCATCGCCTAGGTGACTAGGCACCCCCCTGTCGCCTAACCTCGCCTTGGCGCCTTGAAAACTATAGAATGGGTACCATTAAAAAGAAAGAAAAAGGATAAAACAAAACAAAACAAAATGGTGCTTAATTAGAGTTTCCATCAGGAAAAAAATATATATCATATATCTAGGTACACCCCCCCACCCCCACCCTAAGCCTAGTCCTCAGCTTTCTACATGGAGAGTTACATATAATTTACCAAACTGGATTTTTATAGCCTAGGTTAACCTAATAAAGAGGTCTGCTACGTATCATAAGGAGCTGTTCATACCAGAGGTTTCTTGAATTTCAAGCAAAAGCATCTTCTTCTACACCAATTTGAATAATGGGCATGCTCATTTGGGCACTTCATAAAATAATTGTGAAGCTAGTTTTCTTACAGAAATGGAAATTTCCTTAGAGCAAGCCTCGCTTATCATAAATAAGGCAATCCTATCTGTACAACAATTTGTGTCTTCATTTTATGTTTAAACATCAAATTCCATTGGGTGATATTGTTTATGGATGGTTGAGAAAATTGTGTTGGACTTTGGCTATAATGTATATTGTTCACTTCTTTGTTAATTACAAATTGGAGGAAAAAATAAGTTGCTCCAGGAAATCTCCTTAATAAAACAAGGAATCAAAACCTTGAGAAGGAATTATGAAATACTATAGAAAATTAAAATTTTTAAAAGAAAAGGTTTGATATACTGACATGAAGCAATATGCTGCTGAACAATCTGATGGGGATGTGCCCCAATTTGCAACTTCTCAAATGGAGGTGGACCATCAATTTCGATTTTTTGAGATACCCTCAAGGATGAGCGGGAGAAACTTGAATATTTCTGACTCATCTCCCATTCTTCATAAAGTGATTGAACAAGTCCTCCTAATATAGCTATTGTTTTAGGATTGAGACACAATATACCATTATGCACTGCCGCTTTGTTTTCCAAACGGACCTACAGAAAAAGAGGGAACAATTTCTGCAGTGGTTAACAATAATAAATAGATGAGGAAGTACATATCTCAGCCTTTAGGACCATTAAAATCACACTAACAAGAAAATGCAATGAATCACATGCATGCTAAGATAAGTTCTGCCTGATTCCATTAAAACTGTTACCATTTCTTCAGAGTTAACCCATGTAGTAATTTCATGGTACTTCATATACTGATCACAAGATAAATCGATTTCTAGCTGAGACTCAATCTCATAGCCAGTTGGCCACCTTCCTAATATTGTTCACTGCAGCAACTTTCATAATAGAAAACGACACAGAAAACATATGAACTTAGATGCATGGAATAAGAATTGGAGGAAGTAGATGATGCATTCAGAGAAGGAAAGAGAATCAGGAAGTTGGAACACCTAAGCCTCAAGACCCAAAAACAGTTTGAAGGTGATAGAACTAAAGGAAACTATGGTGGAAACACTGGTAGTTATAGTAGTTGACAGAGTAGAATAGTGGAGTGGGTTGAAACATTATTTGTATTCCAAGGAACCTGATTCTTGCCAATGGATCTTCAGCTTTTTTTCCATTTTAAGAGGGGCATTCATCAAGGTGAGTAGGTGACCCTCTTCATACATTCATCTGTAGAAGCTATTACTGATCTAACTCTAAGAACAACTGGAGGATTTTCCTGGAGAAGTCTTCGGTAAGTGAAGATGTTTGAACTGCTGTATGAACTGCAAAGCTCTAATTTACAGAGTGTCCCCAGTTTATGCAATGTTTATGAATTCTCCACAGTGACATATTTGAATCACTTAAAAGATTTTCTGCAGTAGATTAGGGTTTACTCATCACTAGAGAAACTTGTGAAGATTTTACATAGAATGCTAGAGCCACACATCCTTTTCTAAAACCATGTAGGTAGATTAGAAAAATGCTTTCAAAATACTACATAATAGCAGGGAGAGAGCATCCATCATAACTCGATCAATCTTATAAGGTTGGTTACTAGACTTAGCTTTCCCAGTTTATTCAGCTTTGAAATAACAGACTGATGCATCACCAAAAAATAGTATCCCCCTTAAGTAATGAATCCTGTATTTCCTCAACCCTCAGCTTAACTAGGAATCGGTAATGCCTATGGTCTCGGTCCTGAAAAAGATAAACATTTTTTTTTACAACTAGCTGTTAGAAATGTTTCTTATAATAAAACCACCAGAAACATGTTTCTACCTATTCTTTTTTTTTTTTAATTCTTGGTTTTCTGCAGCTAGTGCATCCTCACTTATCAGGAAAATGTTTTTTATAATAAAACCACCAGAAACATGTTTCTACCTATTCTTTTTTTTTTATTCTTGGTTTTCTGCAGCTAGTGCATCCTCACTTATCAGGAAAATATGAAGTTAGTTAAAAAAAATTGGAACAGCATTTTCAATTCAACTCCTGACAGTACAAGAGGCAAGAGCAAAGATGCAAACAGACAATTCTTGTTGAGCCATCAGATATTAATTAAGTCTATATCTTTCATATGATCTAATAGTTTATTAGATTGTAAAATGAGATATCTAAATAGAATTAAGGGTTCAACTATGATACTGGAAAAACTTGTAACCAATCAGGTGGTGGTGGGGGTTGATTGGTCAAAGCCCTCGGTTATCATGCCTTTCTGGCAACATAGGTTTTCCCTAGAAATAAAACAATGATTCGCATTACATTACTGAAAGAAGGGCTATTGCCAATGTTTTGCACGAATTGTTCACTTTCAGACATGAACCCCAAGATTGTCATCTCGAGAGTTTACCAGACGAAGCAATGGCCCCATGTTATGTCATATAACTGATAACACATACGAATCTAAATTTTCCAGACAGAACTTTGCACTAGAAAAGGCAGAACACAGGTTTTGCTAAATGAAACTTATAGCCATGTTAGAGTATAATTAGGATGTGGAAATGTGATGAACAGTAGACGATTAAGAAGGAAGAAAATGTCATATTAGTTGAACTTTTAGGTGATAAAATCTGACACTAAAATTCCTTTATGTGTAAGAAACCCTGCAATCTAGGAACCCAACATACGCCAACTCTTGTATCTGGCAAATCTCTATAGTATGTAAAAACAAGTTGATAAAAGCTGCTAAATAAAGAAAACCAGTATACCTTGGTCCCGGGAGCAATATCGTCTTTCATCGACGGTATGGAAGAATACTCTATAGCCACTATTTCCGAATGTCCGTCAGTAAGACCAAATCGAAGAAGACGCCTACTGTGTGAAATTTTAGAGTAAGCCTCAACAGTGCTCTGAGATATATCTCTTACCGAAACAACCTATTTAATTGGGAAAAAAAAAGAGAGAGAGATAGACCAACGAATCAATCAACGGATCGAAAAGCAAACAGATAAACAAAAAACCAATGAAGCTCTAGTCTTCCAGAAAACCCATCAATTAAAAAACAAAGAAAAAAGCTGCACAAACAGAGAAATAGAAAAGTGAAAAGGGTGAAATTGAAAGGAATAAAAAGAGAAAGATAAAAGAACAGTTTATCAACGAGGACCTAGAAGTATAAATAAAGGTTGGAGATGATAAAAAACAAAAAACTTACCTGAAGAACTTTTGGACCTTGAAGATGGGTTGATTTTTTAATCGTAGAAAGATCGGGTAGCGACTTCCCGCCGATAGACTTCAAATCCAGGTTTAGAAGCTCTGATTCAACGGAATCAACAGAACCCAGTTCACCTGATAAAGCAATATTAATTTGAATCAGACCTTTTACTTCTTCGACATCTCTGAAACACCAACCTCTTCGAATCAGCGCTTCTAACACAACCTCCATTGTTCTCCTTGGCGGGTCTAACACCTATTTCGAATGAATATTGCGGGAGCTTTTATTAATCCTATTTTTGTAACTTCTAAGTACTACCCCGGTGAACAAAGCGGAATATCGGTTACATTCAAGGGCATTTTCGTTCACAAAGAAAAGGAGAAATTAATAGAATTTGGAAAAATTCGTGAACTGGGTTGTGTCAAGTCAGTTCCTGGACTTCAAAATGAGTCTATTAATTAGTGAAAATTCCTATACTTTGCGCTTAGTGAGACTTTGGTCGTTGAACTTTAAAACGGGACAACTTGTTAATTTAATTTCTACCGTTAACCGATTGTTAAGTGGCATTTGAAAAAAATATAAATTAATAAATTTTATAAAATACTTTTATATTACTTTTTATATATTATCTTAAAAGTATTTTAATGTTTTAAAAAATTAACATCACTATAAGGCCATCTTCATTTTTCGTAAAGTAGAGTGCTTTTGTTTTTGATACTTTGATAAAATTGTTTTAATAAAAGTGTTTTTGTAAAAATACTTTCGTAAAAGTTTTTTCATAAAAGTCTTTTTATAAAAGTACTTTCATAAGTCTTTTTGTAAAAGTGCTTTCATGTTAAAATACTTTTATAAAAGTGTTTTCGTAAAAGTAACAATGTTGAAAGAGTATAACTGGCATTCTAAAAATTTACTGAGGACAATTCTAAGAGAAAATTTTCGAATAAATGCTTATTGTATGAACATTTAGGTGATGTTTGGTACTGTTTACGGTTTATCCACTGTTAGCTGAAGTGGTGCCTAACGGGACCTAGTGGCACCAATTGTCATAAACAGTTGCAATTGTTGCATTTCTCGGTTTTACCAACAAATAAAGTACAAACGTTTCTTCAATAGACATAAACGATATCAAACACATACTTATAAAAAAGCTGGAATTTTGGACATAAAAAATAAGCTATTATTTTTAAAAGGATAAATCTCTTAAACTATCCATACTATTCATGAAATTGACAAATTGTACCTTTACTGTTTATCTATTATCTTAAGCTACCCTTTAGTTTTTTGACAATTGTCCAAAACCTTCATTGCTGTTATTTTTCCGTTACGCTCCGTTCACATATGACATCACATGAGTGCACTGTTTTCAAAACTGGACCGGAAAAACCGAGAACCGATCAGTTACGTTTTCCTCCAAAATCGCTTTTTCCCCTAAAACCGTTGATTTTGGTTAGCAAACCGCTGAATCGGTTGGTTAACTGTTCGAACCTTTTGAACGGTTTTAACCGTTTTCCAATTTTTTAATTTTTTTGTCAGAATAAGCCGGCCATTCAGGTCGAACGGTCGGACCGTTCGAACCGGTAACTGGACCCTGACCGGTTCGTTTTTAAAAACCATGCATGAGTGGTAATTATTTTAAAAACCATGTGGAAGTTGCAGCGGTGGCGATAATTTTGGTATCGTTGTCGCAAGCGATGGCGGCCACGGCAACTGGTTTTCAATTCCGAATCCAGTACTAACGGCAGTCTGCGGTTTCCGAATCCAATACAACAGAAGAACCTGCGGCTTCCATCTCGTAGTGCACAAGCTTAAGTTAACATGAGCTCTTTTGTCCACATCCACTGTAGTGAGTGAGACAGTCGCAGTTCGTCACTTCGTCTTGGGCATCTTCGAGAACGAAGGGGACGGAGAGAGAGAAAGCCGCTGCTGGAGAGGTCCGCAGCAACGGCGGTGATGAAATAGGGGCGAGAGGGAGAGAGAGAGCGAAGGGGACGGGAAGAGAGAGAGCCGCTGTTGCAGCAGCGGCGATGAGGATGCAGCAGACGGTGGATTCAACGCATTGAATCTATCTTCTTCGATTTCTGAACGGATGGTCCCGGTGGGCGCTGAATAGTTGGTCGCCGGAGACCACAAGAGACTTAATTACGCCCTTGCTGACAGCAACCACGTTGTTGGTCTGAGACGGCTCTTTGGCATCAACGTCAGCTGCTGGTATGGGTGAGTACTGTGGCCAGACTCAGATCTCTTCATCAGAGGAGCCGTTGCAAAGGAACTTCCCAGCGAGGACGAGGGACAAACGTAAGAGGAATGGTCTTTGAGGGTGTAGATGCATTGACCACGGGTGGTTGAAGATAGTTCCTGCTGCTGCTGATGTTGTAGGCGGTGGTGGTGGAAGGATAATTGTGAGGTGAGGGAAGGGGCGGACGGTAAGCTGGGCTGAGAAGAGAGAGAGATGGAATCTGAGTGAAGGTAATTAGACTGAGATTGTATTCGTTACAGAGGCCAGAGCTGAGTTGAACTAGCTCTCTCATCAGTCCGTATACGTTCTCTCAATCTCTCGCCAAAATGTCAGTCTCCTTGCCTTCTCCCATTACTGTTACAGAGGCCATCCCTGATTTTGCTAACAGAATTGCAATAGTCCTTGGTATGTGACTCTGCCTTTCTTGAGGAGTAATCTAAGCAATTGGTCACGACCAAACTAACTCTGCCTGAAGATTGACCCTCTTTCTTCTTAAATGTGCTGTTTTCTTACAAAAGAAAAAAAAAAAAAAAAAAAACAGTAAACAGGACTCAAATAACCATCTCACCTATCTTTAGGCACCTAAAGAGTTTCTCGTGAAGAGCTGCAGAGTTGCAACTTGAGTTGCAGGGTGCAACAGAGGTTGCCATTTGAAGTGTGCACTTTGTCATTTCTCAACTTCCTCAAAATGACTGAAGATTTTCGTGAAGCTAATATAGAAAAAATTGCCACCAAAAAAACCCAGAAGCTTGATGGTTGTGGAGGCAAGCCGTTCGTGGAGCTGCAGTGTGCACCGTACTCAGGCAATGGATTTGTATCCATCCAGTATCGCCATCTCCTGCCCCACTAGCTTCCCAACTGACCCCGGCTTGTGCGCACCATCCTCGGGCAATGAATTCGTATCCATCAGATGCAACGCCTCCGTCATCGTGTAAGCCTCCAACACTGTGTTGGAGCGTTGAATGCTTCCTCCAGTCGAGTTAATGTAGATAGCGCCGGTGAGGCACGTTGCGGGAAAAAGAGGAGAAGATTTGGATCCAACCATTTATAGAGAAAACCCTATTTCTGGTAATTGTTTTCATCATCGCTCTAGTCGACCTATTATTTTCATCGTGTCTTCTTAGCAACACAAACCCTAGCATCATCTTCCTAAGTTGATACGTCGGCTGCCGCCACGATATGATTTTAGCTGGGAAATGTCGTTGTTGCCACGATATGATTTTGGGTTTATTTGTTCATCTGTTGGATTTTATTTTGAAAATTTGACAAGTAGTGAAGGATAAATTTGATATTTCATTTTTTCTAGTTATTGTTTAAGGGTGTATCAATTGTCAGAAAATTTAAGGGTACCTTTAAACTTTATAGCCTAAATCTCTAAACCCTTCAATAGAAGCCATCACGCGTGTCCTCCAACAGGATAGGAGCCAAATATTTTCCACAAAAAGACAATGGCCAGATGATCAAAGTAAACAGTGAAAGTACATGTAAGACATGAGTTAAACCATTCATGGTTCAAAAAATGAACCTCGAGCAAAGCAGCCTCTTTAGCAGGATTCGACTATGATATTGGAAAGATATGATATCAGAAAATTTAGAACCAATCAACCAGTATCATAAAACTGGCATCCAATCAAATGATATTTATCAAAATTCATGAGACAGATTTGATTGGTCAAAGCCCTTTCAATATCACGACTTTCCGATAGCACAGATTTTACTCTTTAGCACTATCTGGTTCAAAAAAATCATTTATTATGCATGCTATTACATTTACACTTAATTGATAGCGATGACTACTCTGGTGGATATTTACTTTAAATGGTAAGTGCTTGTAACCACTAAACCATGCCCAAGAAATAAAAAAATGGCCTCTACTACAAACTAATACTATAAGGAACTATGATCTGCTAGTTAGCCAAGATTGGGTTCCTCTTTTCATCAATTTCTACAACGAGGAGATGCTTAGGATCTGATCCATTTGGTCCTTCTGAATAGAGGGTTGGAAGATAAGCATAGTATGCTGGCAGGTAACGTGAAACGAAGTCCATAACCTGCAAAATGAAGAAAGTTTTGTTTCACAAGTCAACCCACCAATAACATTAGCGTAACAAAGTACTACTGGAATGAGCTAGTATTTATCTGCTGGGATATGCAAATAATCAACTGGATAAACTGAACCTGAGTGCATATATTTAAACAAAAATAAATAAACAGAACATTAGTGCATACGAAAAAACCCACCTCCTCATCAGACATCCCTTCTTTGCCTTCCTCCCTCATGGCAATCTCTGCCTGCACAATACAGAAGGAACTGTGTTATAAACTTATGAATATAATAATTGGTTACTAAGGAATACAGTGTGTTCAAGTTCAAACTTCAAAGAGAGCAGGTTTAAATTCCAAGAGTAGCAAACCTGCAATCGCCAATCATACACACAACTTGGCTCTTTAATCTTGATTACTACCCATGCCTTTATGAACTTGTCCCATGCATCATAATAAGCTTCAAGGTTTTTGTTTACAACTACCAGCTGCAAAATTAGGATTTATTTAAGATAAGAAGGTTCGGTTAACATAGAAAAATGAGATAGTCCTAGAAACAAAACCTCAGCCAGACAAACTTGACAACTACAAACCTGTGGATCAACAGCTTTGACAACTTCCACTGGAAGGGGTTTAAAACCAAGCATCCATCCTTCAAACAGAACAACCTAATTGATCATCCAAAAGCAAAAGAATAATGAGAGAGGAAAAACTATTGGTCTGACTACTTATTGAAAAAAGACGGAGGATCACTCTCTTACTGTTAGTGGTCCTTCAACGTCTGGCCATGTTGAAGGATCAGCTCTGTCACCTCTCCCACCATATGCAGACTGCAGAACAGAAATATTCCATCAACATGTGACCTCAAACTCATTACATATGAAGAAACAAATAGAATTCGTAATTTCTTTACATACTTTGTCATATCGTGGCAGTTTCATCTGCATACCTGAATAGTTTACAAATAACTCATTATTCCTCAAAGAAGAATAAAAATAGAAAGGTAAGAAAATCAACAGAAAAAAATGCAACTTTATTAATTCCTCCACTTATATAAATACCATAAATTTTTTCACCTATTACTTTTCATTAGTGTTCATTAAAGAGGAAGCTATTAGAGGTAGAATGATTAAAATCAGATGTTGCAGCAGACTTTGCGTTGGAATGTAAGAGGGTTGGGTAGTGCTAGGAAAAGGAGGGTAATAAAGGATATGATTAGAAAGGAAAACTCGGATATAGTTTTGCTTCAAGAAACAAAAGTGGTAGATTGGGATAGGAAATGGGTGAGAAGTGTGTGGTGCTCTAGAGGATTAAGATGGTCTTTTATGCCGTCATGCGGTGCGGGGCTTCAGGAGGTATAGTGACAATGTGGAGCAAAGAGGTAGTGGAGCCAATGGAAGAGCTAATAGGTCAGTTTTCGATCTCTTTGAAATTTAAGAGTGTGGGAGAAGAGTTTACCTGGCTGATGACGAATGTCTATGGTCCGAATAGATATGGAGAGAGAGGTGAAATGTGGGAAGAGATCTTTGATATAAGGGGTTTGTGGGAGGGTCCGTGGTGTTTAGGTGGGGACTTTAATGTGATCAGATTTACAAATGAGACCAATAATCCCAATCAAGCGATCACAATCAACATGAGGAGATTCAATGAATTTATTATGAGGGTGAACTGTTAAAAATCCCCCCCCCCAAGATGCTCTAAGCTGGATAGGTTCATCTTTAGTTCAGATTGGGGAGAACATTGGCTAGGGCTATCAGCTAGGGCCTTGCCAAGAGTCACTTCAGATCATTGGCCGATAAGCATTGGAACTAGGAACTTTTTGAGTGGGCCTAAACTTTCAGATTTGAAAGTATGTGGCTAACACATCCAAACTTTACCCATAAGGTTAAAGAGTGGTGGAGTGAAGAAGTGGTAGGAACCCTTGGGATGGATGGGTGTCAAATTCCATAGGAAAATTCAGAGGCTAAAAGGTAAAATTAATGAGTGGAACAAGGAGCATTTTGGGAGAGTGGAGGAGAAGAAATTAAGTGTTATTTTCATGAACCATTTCAAGGCAGTCTACAAAAGACAGGGGGATGTGAGGCTTAGATGGCCTAGATTGGTTCATGAAAATAACACTTGGAAGAAATAAAGGGAGTTACTAGTCCTTTCTAATTTAATAAGCCAATCACAAGGGGCCTTCATTCAAGGAAGACAGATTATAGATCAAATTTTGATAGCAAATGAATGTGTGGAGGACTTCAAGAGAAGGGGGAAGAAAGGTTTCGTATGTAAACTGGACTTGGAGAAAGGGTATGACATGGTTGCTTGGTCTTTTTTGTTGGAGTCCCTGGGAACTTTGGGTTTGGAGAGAAATGGTGTGGTTGGACCGAGGCTTGTTTAAAAACTTGCCATTTTTCAGTTTTAGTTAACGAAGTTGTTTGAATGCATGTTAAAGTTGAAGGTCAATTTCGAAAAGAGTTGTGTAATGGGGGTAAATTTGGAGATGGAGGAGTTGAGTGAGGTAGTAGAGTCCTTGGGTTGCCTTACCTCTAGCTAGCCTTTGAAGTACTTGGGTATGCCTTTAGGAGATAGTCCAAGAGAAGGAAGATTTTGGAATTCGATTATAGAAAAGTGCACAAAGAAACTGGCTGTTTGGAAGAGAAACTACATATCCCTCGGGGATCGTATCATTTTAATAAGAGCTACTCTTGCGAACTTGTGAACTTACCTTCTCTCGGTCTTTAGAATGCCACAAAATGTGATTTTGAAGGTAGAGAAAGTCATGAGGGATTTCTTGTGGAAGTCAGGGGAAGGGAGGAAGGATCATGTGGTTAGGTGGGAAATAGTGTGTAAGAGGAAGGAGCAGGGGGGTTTGGGATTAGGCAATCTAAGGAAGAAAAATACAGCCTTGCTAGGCAAATGGCTGTGGAGGTAGCCTCTAGAAAGAGAAAGACTTTGGCATAAAGTTGTAAGGAGTGTGCATGGTGTTGCAGGAAATGGTTGGGATGCTGGTTTATCCCGACGGGCTACACGGAAATCTCCATGGAAGGCTATTCATAGTATTCTTCCTGTTTTCTTGAATCTGATCAGGTATGACGCTTGTTCTGGAGATAGGGTTTTGTTTTGGGAGGATGTTTGGATTTGTGACTTCACCCTCAAGAACCTCTTTCCCTCCTTGTATTCCATCTCGCATTTTAAAAATGAGCCAATTCAAAGGTTTGTGTCCTCCTCCTTTTCTTCTGGTATAAACAGGAACCTAGGTTTTAGAAGAGATTTGAGAGATTCTGAGCTTGACCAGGTTGCTTTGCTCCTTAAAATTATTGATCCTATTTGCTTGGACCCTTCTTCTTCAGATACCCGTATTTGGAAGCCTTTGCCCTCGGGATCCTTCTCTTGTGCTTCTTTCTTTGCTTCCTTGTGCTCCTCTCCGCTGCCTCAACCTTTTCATAACAAGGAAGTTTGGTCCAAACCTGTCCCTCCAAAAGTGGAAGCCCTATTGGAAAGTGCTAATCACTTGCCCTTTTGTTGTAAGCCTTTGGGAAAATCTTTTTGATCTTTTTGGGAGTAGGTGGATAGAACCGGAGCAGATTTGCAATCTTTTTGACCCTGCAACTTTCAGGTGATCAAAGAGAAGAGGAAGAGTTATGTGGAGGTGTGCTAGAGCTACAATGAGAAGGAGAGGGATCTGACATGTGTGTTAGAAAGTATTTTATGTAGGGCCATAAGCTAGGTAAAATCCTTGGACCTGTTCTCATCCTACTCTTTTGACGATATAAGTAGGAATTGAGAACAACTAGCCAAAAGTTTTGCAGTCAAAAGCAAGTCTTTGGTGGATTGGAAGCCTCCTGATGTAGGCTTCATTAAATTAAATTTTGATGGCAGTAGTTTGGGCAACCCGGGGCCATCTAGAACAATGTTTTAAAACGCGGAGGAGTGATGCGAGGCGTTCCACTACCTAGAGGCATGAGGCGTAATTCAGAACGCAAGAGGCATAAGCCTCCTGAACACAAGGAGGCATAAGCCTCCTGAACACAAGGAGGCGTAAGCCTTCTTAAGAGGAGGGGGGTTAGGAGGAGGATGAAGAGGAAGGAGGGATCTCATTTTTTTCCTTATTTTTCTTTCCCCTTATCTTTTCTTCCCTTCCCTTTCCTTTTCTCTTTTTTTTCTTCTCTTTCCTTTCCTTTTCTTTCCCTTTCTTTTCTTTTCCTTTCCTTTCCTTTCCTTTCCTTTTCTTTCCCTTTCTTTTCCTTTCCTTTTCTTTCCCTTTCTTTTCCTTTCCTTTCCTTTTTTTCTTTTTTCTTTTTTCTTTTTTTTCCTATAATTTCGTATCAGGTGTGCATGAGGCTACGCCTCTTGCACCTGAGGTGTACGCCTCTGGCATACGCCTCGGGGCGTTTTGGGAGCGCTTCCCACGCCTTTTAAAACACTGATCTGGAATAGGGGGAGTCTTTAGAAATGCTGAGGGCCAGATTTTAGCTCTATTTTCTAGTCGTATAGGGATGGGAGATTCAGTTAATGCAGAACTCCAAGCTGTGATACAAGGAGCAGAAATTGCAAAAGAGTTGGCAATGGAGCATTTAATGATTGAAGATGACTCCAAATTGGTTATTGGATGGCTAAAAGAACCGGAAATGGAAGCCTGGCCTTATAGGGGGTCTTTGAGAAGATTTAAGTGGCTAACATCAAATATCTCAGTCACAGTTCAATGGGAAAGCAAATCGGCAAATGGGCTAGCAGATTTCCTAGCCAAACAGGTACATAGGAATAAGCTCTTTTGGGCTCAATTGTAAGCTTTATGATGTAGTTTGGAGTCTTACCTTCTTTTGTCAATTTACTTAGGGCCGTGAGTGTTTCAATGGAAAACTGAAGATCATGGCTTCCAGAATTTCCTCGAAACTAAAATAAAAACAAATAAACATGTAAGCAACATATTAAGATCTGCTTCAAACAAGTTAGTTTAACTGGTGATTAGAGAAGGATTGGAGTGAGGATTTTTCTATCACTACCTCTAAAAGTGCATTTCCAGGATTTTCTTCTCTCAATTTATCCTGCAATATATATAAACTGAATTAGGAAAATGAAAATTCAAAATGAACAACAAGTCTTTAATCTAACTTCAATACGTGTACCTGGTCCTCAGCTGTCAAATAGAAATCATCTATAGATACTGTTGCGGACTTCCTGAGATTTAAACGAGTGTCAGAACTTTAAGATTTTTCATTGAGAGTTCACAATTCGCAATAAATAAGAAAATTAATTGTTTTGTATTTAAAATAATAAATTAACCTTTTGTTCAACCAACCTTCCAGTGCATCGGAAAAGATAATCTAGAGCAAAAACAAGTGTAGTCTTTCCACAACCTTGTGGAGCACTAAAGCCAATCTGGACCATGAAAAATATTTTATCCATGTCAGTTGCTTATGCTGAGATTCAGCTACTTCTAATGCAGAGGATTGAAAATATAGATTTAGAGCTCGGTTGTTCTATTTCAGTGCCTCTATTGCGAACCAATGGTTACGAGATACAAAACCGCATTATATGAGACATGATTAAGAAAACCCTAAGTCAATGAATAGTAATTGGGAGCAGCTAAAAATCAGGAAAAAGAAAAGGATAGCTTCTGACAAGATATTATACCACTAAGGGAGGGATTTCTTCTCCATCTTTGAAAATGGACCTGTGATGTGAAATCTGATCTTCACACCAAAAGAATACTGGTACATAGTAGTGATAAATTCTAGCTTTCTGAGGAATAGTAAGGTTAAGCTCATTGAGTTGAAATAATCTGCACAGGTAAAGTCCACATTCTAACCACCTGTCGATGTTCTCTGCAACCATTTCTGGGGTCAGACCCAATTTTTCTATAAGAGAACCTGAGCATATAAAGTCATAAAGGTCTTGCACTGAGGAAACCACTGGAGATGTGGCAGGAAAAACTGAATGCAAAGGACCCTGTCTCCATCTCTTGCTGCTGATATTATCAGAATCAGAACACATGGAATTGTCCTGTATCCATGAGCATCCCCGTGCTAGAGGAAGGATCCCTGTCAATAGAGAAAAGGGAAAAAAATTTACAATCTTAAATTCCCAAAACTATGACAGGATTACAAGGGGTGACAGGAAACTAGTAATTAACTCCAAAATATTATCACCACAGTGTACAACAGAAATAATGATCAGGCTGCTTTGCCACTTTCAGTAAACAATTTTATGTTATATAACATCAAAAGTATTGCACTAAGAAAGCCCATTTTTGTTCAACAAGAAGGGAATTTGACAAACATGTCTGCTTAAATTCTGTCAGGAATAACCATATTCAATTTGATCTCCTCGAACAAACAAGGTTATTTATACTTCCTTTTCTCTGACTCCCCATTGCGGGGATATATGGGAATAGAAACTAAATGAACCTCAAATCCAGAATAACAGAAAAAAAAAATTAAAACAAATAAAAATAAATTCCTGGTGTTTGAATTACTGAAATATTAAATAGTAAGACATAAAGCTCAGTATAACCCTAACCCTCTTTACTATGTCAAGTAAAATAACATAACTATGTAAAGAAACAGAACTGTGTAGGACGCATAGTTTCCAGTACTTCACCGGAGAAAATTACTAAACATTTAGAAAAAGAAACTCAATAAGAAAAGGAAAGAAACATACACAGAGAAGTTACACTAGCAATGTTTCAATAAATTTATTGAAGTACAAAAGATACAAAAGAATAGAAGGTGAAGGATGATCAGCAGGAGTGGACCACTTCTCGAACTAATTCATTTCCAGGAACCCGAGATAAGGCAACAAAAAGAAGAATAGAACATAAACAGCTCAAGTATTATAGAACGAGTGGGGAAATCGAATTGTACAATCAGTAAAACAACAACGCGAGAATTAAGCAACCCAAAAGCAAATGATTTAGAACACAAAAGCAGAGACGAAAGGTGATTCGTCTTCATCAAATGAGGAGTGGTTACCTGATTTTGCTGTTTGGATCGGCATCACGGAGATTTTACGAAATGAGAAGGAATTGTTAGAAGAAAATGAAGAATCGAAATTGGAAAAGTTAACCGTTGTCGGTGTACAGAGAAAAGATGAGACGACGTTGAAGCTTTGAAAGTAAGCCTGGGTTTTATAGGAGGAAGAAAGCGGTGGTGCGGTCAGCCACGGCGTCGGTTGCGACAAGATGCTAGCTATTGCCATCGTCATCCCCCCTTCGGAGCTGCTTCCTCAGTTTCCTCTCTCTCTCTCTTCCCCACGGAAAGCGCGAAAAACCAGCACGAAGCGTTAATCCTCTCCTGCAGGTTCGTTGGTGATGTCCATCTTGAAATTACTAAAATATCCTCCACCCAGACCAGTACGTCTGTCTAATCGTCTAGATATGACAATTCATCGGATCGGTGTGTGTAATACGATACGTTCCGGACTTTCGGTTTTTTTGAACCCACCGATGCGTTAAGGTTGTGTTTGGTTTGAAGAAAAAAGTAGAGAAAGGTAGAAAACCTATATAAGATTTGTAAAGATTTTTTTACTATTCCTTTCCTTTCCCCACCTTTTCCTTCAAACCAAACATAACCTAAATTTTAGGAGTTATTAAGTGTTGGCTGTCAAAGGGTCGAGTTTGGGTTAGGATGGGTCTGATTATTAAACAGCATAGAATCATGGACCGGTTAATAATTAGGACAACTGGGTCTGACCCTTTATTTAAACAGCGTAAAATCATGGGTGACCCTTTATTTATTTAAAATTTGAACTTTGAAAATATAGATTTAATAAAAATGACAGTAAAATTGTAAATTATTTGTAATGTTAATAACTTAATTTTAACTAACCAATTCATTATTAATCAAGATAAAATCATGGAATGACCAACATAATGGGTTCAGTTCAATCGAGCTGAATAGAGCCATTGACGTTCTGTAGTGTATACTTTACTCCTCCATCCATCAAAATGAAAAGAAAAACAACTAGAGAATATTTGGAATAAGATGAATTCCATTTTTTCCAGCTTCATGGAGGCTACATAATCTAGGGTATCACAAACTAGGCTAGTCGACGAGGCCTCCTACAGTGCTTGGGAAAAAGGATGAACAAACCTCCAAAAACAAGCAATAACATACAAAAGGCAATAAAAAAGATACACAAATTAGTAATAGTACTTTGTATTGCATAATAAGGCAAGTACAGGGACACAATTACGGGGGCCCCTATTCACCTAAACTTTTAGGGTTTTGACATAAGAATACATTAAAATGTTAAATAATCATGCTAATAATTATAATAATGTCATTAACATTCCCCTACATACAAAATGCATACATGTTCCCACTCAAGACGCACACAAAACACTCCAATGGCGTGTTGAGGTTGCAGTGGAATGTGCTTGATGGCGTGGTAAAGAATCTGACTGTAACAAGGGGTAGCCCATCACCCAAACCTATAACCCCCTGCCCCTAACTCTGGTGCAGGTAAGATTCAATCCCAATTCTCCACTACAACCGGGCAGAGACCTTACCATGCAACTAGCCAATTGGCACTTTGCATGAATTCCAAGTTTTTCTTGTATCAATTCGTCATTTGAAATGAACTCACTATCAGTAAACTAGTAAAGATGGGATTTCAAAACTTGAATTCATCTTATTCATCTTTTTTTTTTCTCTTTAACCCCAAACTTCATCATCTCATTCTTCTTTCTATTGGTACAAAAAATTGAACTCATTAGATGGCAAGTTCATATCAAGGAAAACTATGGCGTCTAAGTACATTCTTTCTAACCCCATCATCATCATCCAAGCCTTGTCCCAACTATACGGGGTCAGGCTGCATCAATCCTATTTAATCATTCCACTCTGTTCAATTTGATCTCGTATTACCCTTCTCATCCCAAGCCCAGATATTTAATCATTCCATTCTACATCAATCCTTGGTGGGATGCCTGACTTAGGCTTATTTCCAAACATCCCATAATGGGCCAGGACCTGTTAGAATATGGACCACCTCAATCCATGTTGGATTGGATACAGACAAAAAGGCTGTCAAAATTTTTTTCTGTTGTTTGTTTTGACATTTTCAGGACCAGGAGTTGTTCAATATGTATCTGTCACTTACTCCACTCCACACATCTCAAGATTCTATCCAAGTTCCAATTTTCAGAGTGATAACAATCTCATTTTTCCCATTTGAAAGAATCCAAGGATTTTTACTAGACACTGATATTGTTGTTGGGGAGAAGAAATTAAGGACAAGAATGGAGTGAGGGCTGTGGTACAGATTCTGTTTCTATATCTCCAAGTTCCAATTTTCAGAGTGATAACAATCTCATTTTTCCCATTTGAAAGAATCCAAGGATTTTTACTAGACACTGATATTGTTGTTGGGGAGAAGAAATTAAGGACAAGAATGGAGCGAGGGCTGTGGTTCAGATTCTGTTTCTATATCTCCAACGTCCCAATCTAATAGGCATTCCAATGATCTTCAATCTCATAATTAGGAACTGTTTATGGATGAAAAACAACAGTCTGATACGCCCAATCCTGCAAATCTCTCAGTACTAATCAGATGATCTCATAAGAACAAGACAAAGACCTCGACGCCCAACTAGCACGAAAGCGAAGAGATGGAATCGATTACACTGTCTGTTATAGTAACTCTAAGAAAGGAAGCTCCATTTCCAAATTCATGCCGGACCCAGAAAATGCAGCATAGAAGGAATGGTCTTCATCACTATCACTATAATACAGGGAACCTCAAGTTTCTCTGCAAGTAGACACAGTCAAAAAGAAGCTTCATTAGAGATTGGTGAAACAACAACTCATCAAAAGGGGGAGTTAGGCATACTACTCAACTACCTCAAGAGTTTGGAACTCATGTGGATACTTTTCGGTTCAAAAAAGAGTGTACTGGTGGTAGCTGAAATTTGTATCTCGTGACTACTTGGAAGCATGGAGAGTTGGCTGGAAACAGTGTCTGGAGAGAGAGAGAGAGAGATCTTTTTCTTTTTTGTTTCAATGGGAAAGTTCAGTTGAGAGGTATTGGTATTGGATAAAAGTTGGTAGGGGCCATAAGGGAGGAATAAGAAAGTAACTTTGGATTCGGTTCATATTTTATATTGTTATTTGGTGTCAATTAGAGACAAAAGGGTGATTATTTTCTAAATGTTGTTGACCTGAATTAGGGTTGTTCATAAGCAACTCGACCAAACTGACCAACTTGGACCAACCCAACCCGAGCCAATTGGGTTTTCATCAACACTGGTCGGTTTCGGTTTTTTTGTGTAAAAACCGAAATCGACCCAAACCGAACCAACTTAGTTCCTATTTAACTATTTAAATATATATTTCAATTTTAAATTAAATCAACCTAATCTATTTAAATATATATTTCGATTTTAATTTAAATATATTTTATATTTAAAACTGTTAAATAAAGATATTTCAGTTTTACATAAAAACTAAAATATCTGACAATCCCAACTTGCACCAGGCATGGGCCATGGAGGGCATGGATGAACTTAGAGCCGAAACCGACCCAAACCGACCCAACCTGACTCAAACAGACCAGGTCAGTTTTGCTTAACACTAGGTCGATTTCGGTTTCCATCTCAGGTAACCCGACCAGGTCAGGTCGGTTAGAAAAACCTCAGTAAACCGACCCAACCCGACCCGTGAACAGCCCTAACCTGAATGATCGGACTGTTCGGCCCAAAAACCGTTCAGGCAACTAGTTCTGTTTCACCCATAAGCTATTTCTTTGCCAAAAACCCTTGACTTGGTCAACAACCTATTGATCAAGGTGGTTAAACCATTGATCCATTCGACCCAGACAATAAATTTTGGCTTTTTAAATTTTTTTTATTATTTTAAATTGAAATGGGCCATCTGCTTGGGCCAGACAGTCAAACTGCTGACCCAAAAACTGGTGGCCAAAATAGTTTCTATTGCAGGTCGGTTTTTAAAGCATTAGATTAAAATGTTATTTTCATTGCAATAAACGTTTAAAATGGCATTTTCTCCAAAAAATTGTTTTTGAATAACTTAAAAATACTCTAAAAAAAGTAAGGAAGAGAACAAAATGTATACGTGGCACTGACAAAGCGTTTCCAGCTTTGGAGAATCTCCTTACCAAACACTGCCTTAATTTGCAATTAATCTGGTATTTGGTAAACTTGCAAGTAATTAATTGGTATTACTGACAGCTGAATCTAGTAACCTACATCAGAAACACATTTAGCCGTGGGCCGTGGCTGCAGGTAGTTATAAAGGCATACGTATATACACTCCGGAGGGTAAACTGGTCAGGAAACTTCAACGGTAGGGATAATTTAGTCATTAAGGTCACCATCCAAACTCGAAAGCAGCGTAGGATAAGAGAAGCAGTCCAGGTCAGTAGTAGCGTGAAGAAAGCAAGCACATACACGCTTCTGACGAGGATCATAGTGGGTGGACGGTTTACGATAACCATGAATGAAACAGACTAGGATCTGATATAGTGATATCCACACTGACCAAAAAGCACCTGGTCCTTTATTGAAACTACGAAAATGCCACTGATCCTTTCGAGTTACAAGATTACCATTTGCACCCTTAACTCCCCAAAATTACAGAAGTACCACTCTTGCTCATCCTGCAACCAAGTATCATCATTTTCCTTATTTTATATTTTGTTTGCAAAACTGCAAGAGTAATAATAATGTTTGGGTTGTTATTTCAATTCCAACTATTTGAAGCACTCCCCATTTATTCCCCCTTGAGAATGAAATTCCATTCTATTATCATATATATTCTTGTTTGAACCAAATAGATTATGGAAATAGATTACTATGATTTCGATTCCGAAAAATTTTAATTTTGATTTTGATTCTAATTCCATTTCTAATTATCGATTTATTATACTACCCTTCCTTTTAGTTATAAACAAAAATTGTGCAATGATAAAATTTATTATAATACCAGATGTAGGTGCATATGGCAGGGTCGGGATGATGCCACGTGGCATCGGCTAGATTGATTCTTGGTCGTCCGTTGGTAACAACCTCAACCTCCTCCAAGGCGAGCTCAAGTATAAATAGGTGTGTCACTCCCTATGTAAGCTATCTGGGTTTTTACTACTCAGGCTCTTTAGCACTTGGGTGACCTCATTTGAGCTCCTCCCCTCGTCCGACCCCTTGTTATGCATTTAACTAAGTTGATCATCGGGGCCTCTGTCCCTAGGATAATACCCGGGGCCTTTTGACGTGCTCTTTGATCCTCAGGTTGGATACGTCAGCCCATGAACATA